CAAGATCATAAGTTTACTCACATGCTATACCTCAAATAGGGTGGGGTGGGCGAAGGTCCATTTTTTTCCCTCTAGAAGATATTCCTCCCTCCCTTTTGAACCCTTTCTCCAATGGATAATGAAGGTGCGGGGGAAAATATGAGAGGGAGAGGTTGGAGTTTAATATACTCCAATCTAGTTCATAAAACTTCATTTGATTAGTAGTTCATTTGACATGACTCAGCTCCCTTGGGACATACATCCCAGCTCACAGGTCCGCCCCGACTCCCCCTCTCCTCCCAGGTGCTATCCAGATGTATGGCGGAGCAAAGTGGCTCTCCTTGTCTTACAAGATCCTTTGAGAAGTTTCTATTCCCATGGTCCCCTCTCCGGTGACCTCTTAGTCCTGACCCCAGTATCTGCCTGATCCTTGGTATTCTTGGAGCCTCCAGTTTTCCCAGCTAGGGCAAATACGAACCAAAAATGCCACCTTAGCTGGAGGCAGAAGGAACAAGGAACTTGATACTCATCCTCTTCAAACCACCCATCTCAGTTTTCCACCTTCTTCCAATCAAACACGAGGACAGGGACAGGGTTTCCCTCCTTCCCCTGTTCCCTGAAATTATACTGGACAGAATATTGACAGAAGGCAAAGAGTTTACCGATAAAGAAATATACATCAGAAAACATCTCACAAATATCATACTCATTTTATAATTTAAAGAGGAAAAAAAAAAGCAAGGTGCAAAACGTGTGTATAGTATTATCAGAGATTATATGACATGTAAATATGAGAGTCTGGAACTATATACATAAAAATTTAAATTGCATGAACAAAATGTTATTACAGGGCTGTTTTTCAGCAAGCACAGGTCAGAATTTGAGTTCAAAAATAACCCCACTTCTTGCAAGATAAACATCACCCTTTCCCAAGAGCTTTGTTCAATCCTACTGAGACCATCGCCAATGGAATAGTAAGCCAACTGGAAGGCAGAACTCGCGGGAGGGGGTGGGTAATGCAGGAAGCGTGTTTCCCCCAACTCCAATGGAAGACACCTGCCAAAATATGCTATTTTCACTTGTTACGATCATTTTAAAACATTATATGAGAAAACTGTAGCTGTTCTTAATATTGGTAAGTCCAGGAAACAGGATATCTTGTTTTTGCTTTCTTTTGTAGATCACTAGACCAATCTAAAAATCAAGTGTATGAACCTGGTGTTAAAAAGTTCCAACATCAGCAAGATAACAAGGTAAGACTGTATTTTTATATGTTGGTTTTAATTGATGAAATAGAATTCTGAAGGAAATTAAAAATATTTCTGGGCCTGACTCATATTTTAAATAGAGATAAGAAAAAAACACTTTTTCTTTATTTGCCAGGCTTTTTAATTTTGTGTTTTAAGAGGGAAAAAGGCATTTCCTGGTACAAAAAGGATAGAGACAGAGGCTGGCACTAATTGAAATACGTAGACAAAACAGTAAGATTTCAGGAAAAAAAAAGCATATTATAGTATTTCTAACCTTTTCTTATAAAAATACACATGCAGTTTATCAAATGCATTTCAACAAGGTTGAATTTTTCATAATCATTATTTATATACCTGGAGTTGAGTAATTATATACATATACATATAAAATATTGTGAAATGTATTTTTATTTCAAATAATCAGCTAAAACAAAAATATGTAGGAGAAACATGATTTGTGAACAATGAGCAGCATCAAAAATTCCTAAAAGTGCATCCTCAGATAAAGGTTTCTTCCAGTGTTCTAAATATCTCTTTCAAAATACTCATCCATTCAATGCATGAGACAAGTGCTCGGGCCTGGTGCACTGGGAAGACCCAGAGGAATCAGGTGGGGAGGGAGGTGGGAGGGGGGATCGGGATGGGGAACACATGTAACTCCATGGCTGATTCATGTCAATGTATGACAAAACCCACTACAATATCATAAAGTAATTAGCTGCTAACTAATAAAAATAAATGAAAAAAACCCCAAAATACTCATCCATTCAATCTTTTGACTAAAATTTTATTCTACAAAGGGAAATAACTTATCTAATAAGCAAGTTAGCATAAGAGCTTTTAAAATAACTTTTCAAAAAAATACCTTGGAGAATTTATAGCCTAAAATAACCTAGTTTCAAAAATTATACCTAATCTTTACGGTAAAAATGAGTGTTAATCAGCCAGTGTCCTGTCGAGTCTATCTGAGGTCGCTCTCTCTCTCTCTCTCTCTCTCTCTCTCTATATATATATATATATATATATGTATGTATGTATGTATGTATGTGGTGCTAAATGGAAGCAAATGCAACAAAACTTGCAACTGAAGCTGATCATACAGTCAATATACAGCCAAGAAGGATGCTGAGGCCATCATACCACACACATATATCCAAGTGTGCCCATGTATATAATCTCATATGTCCAAAGAATAATGTGTGCCATTTTTATTTCCTAAAACAAAGAACATTGAAAAGACAGGAAAGGGTCAGACTTGGGCCATAAAATGACAGTAGGACACAGGATCTGATAATGAAATATCCAGGATGAAGTGTACACCAGCTGAATCCAGAAGGACCAGGGAGAATCGAGAACCACATTTCAAATGAAGAAGCAGTTTAGAATAATAATGGTTGGAAGGGCACATGGTGACTGATTCACAAGCTATTTGGCCACCCCTGCTTCAAGATACCAATTCAGTCTGAGAAGGTTTAGGAAGAAATTGAATATATTCTCAGTAGGTTGTAAAGTTAGAGATATTTGGGGGGAGGACATGACCCACCTTTCAAAGAATATATCCTAAATGACAAGCATATTATCTCATCTACCAGCAGAGGTAATATTGGAATGAATCACTGGTTTGACCTTGAGTGGCATTTCTTAATCTCTTAAAAATATTTCTCTTCCAGGTAACCATGAAAAGAAATTTGAATTACTGACTATAGGATATGAAGAACTTAACTATCAAGATTGGGAAGGAAACTAAAAGCTGAAAATGTACAAATTATAATTTAATCTATCTCAAGAGAAATGACTTGCTTTCTCAAGGAAAACTGGATTCACTCTCTCAAAATTCTGAAAACCTAGGCAGGCATATCCACTGATCATCAAAATCCAGGCATGTAGTCAACACTGAGAACCAGGACACATCACATATCAAATAGAGAAGACTTATATACTTGAAGACCAATAAATTCTGAAGAAAAATAAACTTATTATCAAAACCCAAAACACAATCAGTGAAACATATTAAATATTTTGGTTATTTCTCAGTGATAGTCAAGGTGATAGCAAACCAGGTTACTGTCCAGCCACCCTTAAAATATTGATCACAGATTATTTACAAGTGCAACTTATTATGTGGGGGCAGGGGGGTGGGATTGACCATATACAGGGAAATAAAGCTCTTCACATGTTAGGATGTACATAAAAGATCATGCATGCAAGGAGATGCAGAATGAATGCATATGAGACATAAACTGTGGTGAGTACAGATGCTCCACACTTCAGTGTCTGTAGCTCACATACCTCTTCAGTTCTTAGGCATATAGTTGTATAAGAAATTACTGCTTACACAGTAGATAATTTTGCTGCCAATAATTCCTAGGTTGTTCCTTTGAAGAACTGGGCTATACATACCATGGAAAAAATCTTTTCTTGTAACTGCATAGACCTATTTTAAAGGAAGATATTATATTGGGGGCAAAAAGTGAGGCTGTACTTTGTGACATAACCAATTCCTCTTTCCCACCATGGATGGACTATGTCTTCCTACAATTTGGTAACTTCACTGGGTAACCCTTGACACTAACTCTGGTGTGTGCATAGGTAGACTGGCATCAAGGTATTCCAGTTCAGGCAGTTTGTAATGTGCATTTAATGAAAAATGAATTCCTCCATATCTCTTTCAACTGTTCAACTATCAATTATATTTGCTGCAAAACTTTAATTTCAATAAAATATGATATGCACTATAGCACTATAGATTTATAGTGTTTGTTTACTAGGTATCTCCTGGATTTGTTTTATAGATTATGGTCAATGATTTTAAGCACGCAAATCCTTGAAAAAAAAATCACTGATATGTCTCCCAAAGGTATAAGTTTCACCCCTATTCTCATCCCAATCCTCCCCAAAGTGAGGAGGGATGATATGGGATGGAGACTGTATGTGTCCTGATAAAAGTGCTGCAAAGCCAAGGATGGTGGCAAGACATATACCTGCTCATTTCCATGGCCTTGGAACTCCCCAGAGGAAAATGTGCTTGTCAGAAGCATGACAGGCCAACCAGAAGCATACAAGAACAATTCCACCCAGACAGAGAATGAAAATCTAACGCCATGACCTCCCCGTCACATGCCCTCCGCATCTGCGTGTCAGCTGTGCTCGACTACAAAGAATGTCGCTTTGGGTAAGGAAAGAGAAGTGGGCATGCGCTCCAACTTCTGCCGGGAAGGGCTCCTGTGGAAGCAAGTGTCCCCCACCCTTTGCATCACCCACTTTATGGACTGGTCTTTTCCAACCCCCCAGAGAAGAGCTGCGGAGGTAAGCTGGCCCATCTCCCTGCCGTCAGGAGACCCTTCTGGATCATGCAAGGCTTCATTCACACAAGGCAGCCTTCAGAGACCAGCTGTCTCTCAGGGAGGACCCTTCTTTGGGTCCCCAGTTTTTGCATCCTGTGTCACCTCACAAACAGATCAATCAGGGTCTGGGGAAAAGCAGCCAAGATTTGGTTTCTCTTTAATCTAGGCAAAGTAGCTCACATATGCTCCTGCTTTTCCCTGGGGGGAGAACCCAGAAGTTTGGGGTCAGAGCTCAAGGACCTTCCGATCACCAGGTTTCTTGCCTGGTTCTCCGCCTCCTGGCACAGGGTTTCCGGTGACTGGACCAACTTCAAGATCCCAGCTTCTCCAATTTATTCCATTGAACTGGAATGCAACATGGCAACACATATAACATTTACAACTTTGCAACATCTTGCAACTGTATTAAAAGCACAAGAAGCAAGAGGAAGTTCTACATAGAAAGTATTTATTATTTGTATTTCCAGTACATCAGTATTTTAGGACAGTGTCAGATACACATCTTTCGGAAATAAGGAAAAATTAAGTAACAGATATAATTCATTGAATTTTCAAAACGAAAACAGCCAAGTAATATACCTACTTAGATCTGAAGGTAAGAGTCTGGTACAGGTAAAAATTAAGACTAAAGATTTTCTTTTTGATGTGAACTTCTTCCTGGTTATCTCCTGTTGAAGACTACGACAACCAAGCTGACTTCATACATGAGGTTAGTCATGGGGAAGGAAGACTACACTGATTTGACTTGAACTTCACTGTCCTCCAGATCTGGTCCAGGAATGGGTAGGCCTGACCTCTCAAAGGATCTCTATGTCATCCTTCCACAAGGCTTATGCACACAATGTCTACTGGCCTTCCCCAGCATGCCATTTTATATGCTAAGAATATCTACACCAGGCCTGCCTCAGTCCAGGCTCAATAGGTCCATGGGCTCCGCTCTTCTACTGCATACAGTTCATTCTAAAACCTGGGGAGGATCCAGGAGTACCAGGCCCCCTACCCCGCCTCAGTGCTTTCCGCCTGGCGTGCAGCTCTTCAGGATGCATCCCTGTTCTTCCTCTCCCATCACTCTTCTCTCTCCTTACTGTTCTAGCTGCCCCTGACCCCTGCCCCTGCTTGTCCTTACTGTAATTTTTAGGTATTCTCTGCCCTGCCCTCCCTTGTTAGTTTATCTTCGAGGAGAAATAAAAAGTCAGTAATTGTTACTGCTGGCTATGCGACACAGACAAAAGCTGCCACCCCTTCTGAAGATGGGGAGTGACGGGGGGGCAACCCTCTGCAAACCCCAGGACTTACTCAAAGAAGTCTGCTTGCTTTGATTCCGTGCTCCACGAGTGGCGTGAAGGCATTTCTCTCTGTTTCACAGTCTAGAACTCAATTACTTGAGTTGTCTGGATCCCTGTTAACCTCTTCCGTAAAAGCAGTCAAGTCTACCACTAACACTGTAATAATTCACTGACCGATTCATCCAATACTATTTATTCTACTGATCCAGTACTCTCAAGGTGGTTCAGGTGAAGAAACCAAAGACCTACCTATTTGGATCCCCTGAGAACCATTGCAATAACCTGTGAATGAAAATAGCTTTTTAAAAATCCAATTAATAAAACTACAAAATCCTCATTATTCTTTGCGCCTGTGAGTTTCTATTCTCTAAGTTTTCACAAATACCACTTGTGTTCCACATAAGATGCTATTTTCTTTTGTGATCTGATATGATCTTTCGTTTTGCTGTCTGCAAAAGTGTTCACTATGTTACCGGAAAGAATGACCTGTAAAAAGTCACTATAGGAAGCAGAAGGTAAGTTACAACAGAATGTCTTTTGTGAGGGCCTGTGCTCCTAAGGCACTCTTCTATCTCTTCCTGTTATCCTTTGAGACGGTGCCATCTACTCAACCTTACAACTAAGGAAACTCACTTCTCTCTTAACACGTGAGTATTAGAGAAACTTTCTCTTGGAGCCTACCCATAACTCGCAATATGTGTCTTAAATGTGTTAATGAATTAGGAATTCCATTACAGCTGAATGTGAAAACTTTGTTTTCTCAGTTTTAATATTTTATGGACGTCTACCTTTACAAAGCATATGCTAAGGAAGGAACTGGTATTGAGCAAGACAAGCATTAAGAAGAATTGGTTCTTAATGTAGAGCATGCTGGTTTAAACTTCTAATTTTATATCCCAATTAAAATGACTGATTAAAATTTAAATTTACATTTGATTCATCCGGTTTTCATCTGGCATTTCTGGGTTTGACTGCGAACACTGTAAGAAGCTGCATCCACATTTTTCAGAAGGCCACCTCCACTATTTCCGTCAAAGGATGAAGGGTCCTAGGCTTCTCCAGCAAAGGGGCTTCTGCGTGTGTGAAGCTGTTATGTGGAGGTGACTGGAAGTCTATCTGAACTAGGGCAGGTCTCCTGGAGTCAGAACTAACTCAGGAGACTACTTAAAATAGATGTGTTCTAGGACAGCTGTGTAACACAATTAGCAATAAAATGACTTCAGGCTTAAGACTGACTATAATTTTATCAGCTACTAAAGTAAAACACTATAAAGATCTGTAACAATGCTTTGCTGTGATATATTTCTTTTTAAAAAAATACTCAATTATTATTTCTTAGCTAGACTTTTTTCTGTACCCTTCAGTGATTCAAAGAGCATAAAGGTCAGGCCCATTTCATAAACCCTTTGAGTGACTAAAGACTTCCAAAGCCTAGATAATGATCTATGACATCATTCCAAAGAAACTTTTGGACAGGATTTGAGCTGTAAAAACAAAAGTAAACTGCACTCAAGAGCACTAAGTTAAGTTCTGGGCTTGAGATGGACACCGGCTGTGATACGTTTCCCAAATTCTTCACAACTTGAAGTTCTCTCATTCCCATAAATCACCCTGTGTGATTAGCTGTCCATCAAGTGCCCGCATGGATCTCGGACATACATAATACTGTTTCTGGAAACAGTACTAAAGGCGCAAGGCATTAAAAATCTATTTGATTGCTAAATTTTCTTCCAGGACTCTACTTGCTACCAGTTAAGAAGAAAAGCTTATCCTTCACTATTCTATACAAATAAAAACACCAGTTAGAGGCAAGTGAAGAGAAGAGGAAGAAGAGGACATATTTATTTTCAGTAACCAGACCTTCTGTCACCAAATCACAGGGATTGCATGACCCAGGGTGGGTGAGTCCACCCAGTAACACAGCTTTCAAAGGACGATCACATTGACATTCTCAACAGGACAGACAGGGCCGTTTAATTTCTTTAGCAGAAGACCATTATTTGCACAGTGTCATAATAAATAAACATCTCTACACCAGGACATATTATGAGAGAAGCAATTCCGAAAACAGTGTCTGGCTTACAAGCTCTAATCTAGTCAGCTGAGAAATACTTTCCTAACTGAGGTGGCTCTTTCGAGGAGAAAAAAAAAATTACTGGAAATTCATTTCAAAGGTTTAGAGTCTTTGAACATCAGGGAAAAAAGGTATAGAGAATAATTTTATTTTCTAATTTTATTCTAAAATACAAACAAGACTTCTTAGGATTATGTCAACATAACTCCTTGATGTATTTCTGTTTCCAAATTCCTAATATGAAAGTTAGAAATAGTAGGCTTGAAACTGCTGACATTTGATCAAAACTAAACAGCACACAAACAAAAGCATTTTTTTAAATTATCAGTTACATGAAACAAGCAATTTCTAAGTAGAGGGTTTTTGAATTACAAAGCTTATAAAAGAGCTCTACAATTACCAGAATCTCAAAGGCCAAAAAAGACAAAAGGAATTTTTTTTTTTAAAAACAGGAGTGTCTTGAAGCAGAACACTACATTAAAATCACATGAAACAACTTGGACAAGATTCTGATACAAAATTGCAACTGAGATGAAACTGAAAGAATATCTGAATTCAGTCAGTTAAGCCAAACTGCCACCTAAAACTCATTTTTTTTCCTAAATGAAACAAAAGTTATCTCAAAACTTTCAAGCATTTAAACGATCCAAATTTCCTTTATTTGTTCATGGAGTGTAAGAACATATTCTTATAGCAACACAAAGTGATAGAAAAGCAAAACAAATCCGTGCAGGATACTATGTACCTTCTCTATCAAAGATTTTATCAGACATATCAAGGCTCTCTCCAGAATTCTAGAACTTCAGGTAAATTGCTTTACTCAAACTAAGACATTGCAAAATAGGGGGGAAAATACAAATTTCCAACTGTGATGGAAACGTCCATGAATTTCTGAAAAAGTTAGTGAAGGAAGGATACAGCTTTCAGATAAAAAACACCAGTGCCTTGATCACTCTAAGTGCCTTGACTGTAGTAAGAAAACTGAATTTAAGTTTTCTTTATTCCAGTTTTATGGTACTGTGGCCTTCTTAAAAAACAAGAATTCTGCATTTTTTAAAAATAAACTTCTTTTCCTAGCAAACAATTAAAATGGATTTAAGGTAGTCTGTTGGCAAAGAGAGAGAGATGTCAGAGTCTGTCCAAGTGTAACAAGTATCACAATGATGATGATGAGAGGTCTAACAGTTACAGCTGGATACAGGAAAACAATTTTTCGGTCCCAAAGTCACTACCATAATAAACCTTAAATTAACAAAAAGCCATGATTAGTAAAACCTGTTCACTTTGTGTAAGTAATCCTAACTTGATTGCAGGAGGGGTCAATCTCTGGGGCGCACTCCCTACCTAGTGCCAAGGCCAGGGCTCCCAGCTGCAAGGTTAGCGCACCTTCTACTTTAACAGATTCTGCAGCATGGCCGTGGCATACGTGGGTCTGGCCAGCCTGCTCTCGATTGCACTCTGGAGATACTGGATGCCTCCGCAGCGCTCCCAGATTTCTTCGAACTGTCTTGGCAGAATCTCAGCACCGCGCTTTCGAGTCAGGCCTGTCTCTTCAAGATTCAGCTCACACATCTCCATGTCGTCCTTCCCTGCGTGGATAGAGACATCAGAGAATTAACCACACCTCCTCTCAGATCTGTTTACAGTAAACTTCATTCCTGAAATGTCTACCAGTTGTCATAGATTTGAGAACTTTTAAAACTTTATTTCCTTCCTTGAAGGTTGAAATTTGCTTCATAAATTCACCAGTGACAAATGTGTCCTCCACCAAGTACAGCATTTCAAAATATACTAAGGATGCAGTTTATCCAACAAGTTACCAGGGTTAAGAGAAATGCTACATTTCCTTAAACCATTACAAGGTAACCTATATAATTAGACATGAAAGGACACAGACAAGTGTCTGTGTGTTCCAGGAGGACACAATCGAAGTGATTGATTCCACGCTGTAAATAAGTTATCCTCAACTGATGTGATTTAACTGCAAAACTCCATGCCTCAACCCTGCAACTTTAATGCATTATTACATTACCCCATTTCATTCAGAGGGTATACACTACTTTTCTGCTTTAGAAATTTTTGTTCATGGGAATCGTACACACCAGCCACGAGGAGGATGGGTGGCTTGTCAGGATGAAGCTCCATCTGCCGGGCAATCCATGGTCCATCAAAATGGGCATACCACCAGCCTTTCTTCTTATTCTGCGGGTCTTTGTACTGGTCCGCGGGGCGGATGAATGGGATGCGGAAGAAACGCTGCTGTCGGTTCATCTCGATCTCCTGCTGCCTGGCAGGGAGCTGGGCTGCCGGGTTCTGCTGAGCTATCACAGGGAACAAGGACAGTCACCCAAGGGATAAGGAAAACAGTCTTTAATCCTAGAACGAACCACCAATTTTTTTTAAAAAAAGACGAGACAGGGGGTCCTAATAGTGAATTTTAAAACAAAATGTAAATATGAATTCTCTACAAATGAATACAGTTCAAAGCGTGATTTCTTTAGAATTTTCTCTCCCCACCCACACACCCCCCACCAGCACCACACCACCAGCACCATCGGCAGCAGCAGTAACAACAACAGCCCCCAGCCATTCCCACAGATGCTTGCATCCCTAAAACGAACTCATGCCATGAACTCACACGGCAGGAAAGCAAACTAGTTCTGTTTACTAGACTTATAGTTTTCCTCCAAGGAGTTCAAATGAACGCTGCAGAATGATCTTCATGGGACTATTTATTATGAAACAAATTACAAATTAAGGGATTCTAGATATTTGTCAATTTAACCAGAATTTCCTCAAAGAAGTCAAAGACATAAAAGTTTTCTCCTTTGCAAACTGATTTGGGGATTTAAAATGGCCAAGATAACAGATATTTTATGAATAAGATTTAAACAACTTCATGACAACAAAACTGTAACAGTAAGCATGAACTTTCACTCAGATTTACTTACTCTGAAATCAGACTTCTCTTGGAAAAAAATCCATTGCAGTTAAGTGGAACGTGTATATTTTGTTCTCTTTGCCAACAGAAAAGAAAAATCCTTGCTTTTCTGTTAATACTGAGTATTCAGCTCACAGTAACCTCTTTTCCCTTGCTCAATTTTCATTACGGTTGGTGTTTTCTTTTTTTTTTTTTTTTTTCCTGAAAATACACAGTTCTCTGGGGCAATGACTTTACATATTCAGGAGCATAATTATGGTAAATCTGTTTAATATACTCTAAAGGTAGACCAATCATTTACTGCAGCTCAGTTAAGAATCTCACTGAAACTAAGTATGTCAATGAAAACTTATATGTCTAAGTCAAGGACAGTCACACGGCTTTTCTAAGACTTTCCAAGTACTGAAAGGATGAAACTACTCTTATTCCACCTCTTGCACCAATAGCAAAAGCTATAGAGCAGTTGCATTTATTTCTGTGCAAACAGAAAGCAAAAAGCTGTTAGCAGAGTTGTATATGCCTATGAAAAGAGAGTCCCAGCTTTGTTAGTGACAAAAAAGCTATATCACCTTCAGCATGTTACCAGAGATGAGCTTATTTATCCTCTCATTCCTATTCCCTCAAAACAACTTACAGTTCAGTGTTTCCATTTCGAGTTTTAAAAACTACCTACTCTACAGGATATGCACTAACTCAAAACTAAGACATTTTATAAAAAGAATTAAAAGGAAAAAACCCTTCCTTCCATCTTAAGCAGTGAATTAGAACTCAAGGTCCTACTGATAGAAACATACTAGATAGCAATGGCTGCCCATTAGTATAACCTACTTTCTTTCAAAATAATAATCTCCTGTTGGATAAAATTAAGGAACCCAACAGAAAGTCTTGGATGGCTTTTTCTACTAATGTGAGAAAGGAAACTGTATTTGGGAAGCCTGCAAATGAACAGTCATCTGGAAAAGTATAAAGATACAGATATGGAAAGCTTGAAAACTAATCTTCTAAACAACTATTTCTTTCACATTCAATTGTTCTTCTAAAGTGTATGAAAAAGTTTCAAATCTGTAAGTTTGTAACTTACTAAAAGCAGTAAAAAATAATTTGTGCACCCATTTGGCAAATAAGTATCATTATTTTCAAATCATTACTGTTGAACTGATTTTAGAAGAAATTTACTGTACACTAAGATGACTCAAAGATTTTTACATTATCAAAAAACGTGTATCATAGGAAGCTATAGAAGTAACAGAATAATCTTCTCTTCCTATTAAGAGGTATTCTATTAAGCTGTGTACATTATCACATGAAACTCCAATCTCTTCGGACAGAAATGCTTATACTATTACAGCATTTGAAACCAGCACCTAAAGTTAGTCTTTATTCTAAAAGACTAGCTGCTTATTAAGATAAGAGTTTTGCTACAATAGGAATTGCATATACTCAGCTTAAAATGCTAGGTTTTTAAAAAAGCAAGCAATTTGATAAGACAGGGACTTCCCAGGTGGCACACGGGTAAAGAATCCACCTGCTAACATAGGAGACACCAGAGATGCAGGCTCAATCCCTGGGTTGGGAAGATCCCCTGGAGTAGGAAATGGCGAGCTGCTCCAGTATTCTTGCCTGGAAAATTCCATGGACAGAGAAGCCTGGCTACAGTCCATGGGGTTGCAAAGAGTCAAACATGACTGAGCAATGGAGCACTTTGATAAAATAACAGATTAATTAAATTTTTTCTGCAAATATATTTTGGAATGATCCAAATGAAGGTACTATCTCAAATTAAATATCTTAGTACAGATAAACCAAAATTAATATACTACAATTCACCTTAAAATTGTAGCAAAACAATGTTTAGAAGAAGTTAGTACTTATAAAGTATTTTTAACCCATCTTCCAGTTAGCTCATGAGTTACCACCCATTGACTTACGTGAATTGTTCAAAAATGGTGCAAAATCTGTGAACAAATATTTTATGTTGAAGAAAAGATAAAAATGCCAAAAATGTTAAATAAGCATTCTTCTAATTCATAAAGACTTCCCATCAATGGAGGTGGTGACTAACAGATAAATACCCTATCCATAGCCAAGTACTCCTGTAATAACCTACAAGTAGCTGCTGCTTTCCAACTTTTTAAAATCTATTTTGATTATGTTTGGGGGACATCCTGATTGATAGACATACAAAGAGGACCAAAGTTTAATTTTTAAACACAGTAATATCCAAACAAAAATCCAAAACAGCAACTTAATAATCAACATGAGAGTACCATTAAAGCCTTACTAGAATTTTTATAGGGGAGAAAAAAGGGAATAACTCATAAATTCACTAACAATGCTTTTTATATAGAGAAAAAGCATTACCACACTTACATGTACTCAGCAGGTTTTAATCTCTTCACACTGTCTTAAATCTTAAGCTGACATTTTTAGTTAGGAACGATGAAATAAAACTACTCTCCAAAGTCACCGTTTCAAGCAAGCAAATATAAATCTTTACTGGTTAATTTGCTACTGCCCCCCAAAATTATTTCTGAAAGCCTCTTTATAGGGTAAATGTGATGAGGGGCGTGCACCCTACTACAGCAAAAGGAAAAGGATCCTGAGCCTCCCAGTTCTTAATTCTTAAGAACTAATCTTGATTTGTCAATGTCTTCAAGGCAGTAACACCAAGGTTATATTTTTGTTAATCGCTAAGTTGTCATCATTTTGCTTTCTCAAATTACGGAAGTCTAGTCCTTCTAAATATTAAACTGCAAAGCCATTCCTTTTACAAGTCAAGCAGCTGCACCATCAGGAAACCTCCTGGAGAACAGAGTTTTCTCAAATGAGCTGTTAATCAACTTGGTGCTCGTCACTTTTCCTTTTAACTGTACTCCTGTGTCAGAATGAATTTTCCGTGAGAGAAAAATAAAAATGTACTTCTCAGAGAAGAAGTTACATTTTACCCTGAAAATGCACCATGTTCAATTAAAATTCTCTGAAGACTACAAATATGTGGAGTGTGTTCATACAGAAGTCCTAGTTTTGTTCACATACCTGGATGGGACCCTTGGGAAATTTTCTTAACCTACTGTGTTGTTCTTCCCAGTGGTACATTACGAATGGAAACAGTGTGGGAACCAGTAAGGTAAGCCACATTTTACTTGCTCCTTTTGGGGCAAAGTTGGCTGAGTAAGGTGCCAAAGTTTGGTTTGATACAATAATACAATAAATACTTATATATTCATTAAAAATGTGGGTTTCAAATATGATAACATTTATTTCTTTAAAGAAGTGCAGTCATTCAGATGTATAAATTTTGAAATAGAACATAATGAAAGTCAGTCAGTTGAAGGTCACGATTAGAACATTACAGCTAAAGATTATATCGCTAAAAAGAATACTCCTTCCTCACTTTTACAAAGCAGAGCAACAGTGGTAGGAACTTGGTACAGACAGTGAACAGAGAATGGAATCATTGTGTCATGTTCAATTCCCAGAGACAAAGTTTTAAACCAGAGAAGAGAGTGGTAGTTACAGAAGATTAATGTTTACAGGGCTTTCCACCTGCCATCTCTTAGTTACAAGGCAAGCTTACTACTCTTTCAAGAGTCTTACATTCTGATTGACGACACTCATGAGCAGTCACTAGCACTAATAACACTTCCCTTCCTCAATCTAATCTTTGCAACAGCTTAGAAACACTTAAATTTTACCATCTAACTGCCTTTCATCAAACACTGTTTTATTTGCTAGGAAGGTAGTAAGGAGACAAAATATAATCGTGAGCTCATTTCCTAAGTCAGCTTGGGTCATGCATGGCTAAATTATACTATCAAGAGTTGGGAACATACCTTTTTTAAAAAAAAGATATTAAATATGCTGTCACCTTGACATTAACCGGAATTAACCTAATAAACTGCTCCTGTAGCAAGTTGAATAAATGAAATTCTAACTATTGTTTTTAAGACTGAAATTACAACTCACAGTTATTCTTACTTAATGTTAAAGCTAGTATGTGCTTTCACTAGGTTATGACTCTTCTGCTGTATTTCCCAATTTCATGTACACAGCTTTGCCTTTTGAACAGCAAAGTAGCAAAATTAATTTTTAAGATCTCAGTTAAAAAATCAAATTCTGGCTGAGAGAAAATTCTTCTAAACCAAGGTACTATTTCTCACTCTTATATTTTCACAGTATTACAAAGTGTTATTTGCAATAAATATTCTTTTTTATAGTAATCTTTATATTTCCACACTTAATCTTTACATATGTCTGTATATGTATATGTGGAAAGAATACATATTTACAGCATTATCACACAACTTCCTCAGTAGGGACAATTCTTACCCCTAGAATTTATCTTAATAAGTAAATTCAATACCTGTAAACAAATATGACTTTAAAGATGTATCTAACACAAATAATACTCTGAAAGATAAGATGGCTGTGTTAGGTTCAGCAGACCCTCAGTTCTAAAGTAAGAGGAAACTTGGACAGTTTTACCCAAATGCCTTATGCATAGTTACATGTAATTATATACTTTGGAACATTCAGAAGTACAGATGTGTTTTTACCATAATCAGTAACAGACTTTGGAGCACGCTGTTCTGTTTCAGTATTTCTCTTCTTGTTCTTGGATTTCCAAGCATGATACACTTTTAGTCGCCTATGAAATTCTTCTCTGCAAGCTGCCAGGAGCTCAATATCTATCAATTACATAGAAAGATTAAAAAAAAAAAAAAAGCAATGAACATCCTAATTTAGTTCTCTAGCATAATTATTCTTTGGCATAAACATACATATTTCTAAATGAAGGTTTCATTTTTAAATTAACAGTACAAAATCAAAAGTAAACCAATTATTGACAAAGATGAGTACTTTCATGGTAATACTATTTTTTAATACTTACAGAGCATTTTCTTATGCATAACTACTATCTTATATTTTTACTCCACACAAGAACTCTGGACCAAATAGGTCTTTTATAGATGAGGAACTGGAATCAGAGAGGTTAAGTCACTTGTTCAAGGTCATAGATCAGAATAACAGAATAAAAAGTCACTGTGCTCAAATATAAGCTAGATTTACAAGCACCACATGTTTGACATATGTAATTATGCAGATAAACTCAGTGACAAGGGAAAGAACAACAGTGAGGCATCCTGCACAATTATGACATCTGAGGTCCTAGTCACAGTGTCCCAAATTCAAATGCTATGATTGACACGTGAACACAACTGTGTGGGATTCCCTGGATACAGTATTTTACTCTGTTCTGTGGAAGAAAAACAGCTTTAAAAAGGAAAATCTCCACTGCCGTTTTTCACTCTGCATTCTTGGGCCAAAATCCTTGCTGGGGTAACCCCATGGACAGAGGAGCCTGAGGGGTACAGTTCACAGACTCGCAAAGAGTCGGCCACAACTGAAGCGACTGTGCTCATGGACCAGAAGGGTCTGATACACAGGCATTTAGCTATTACGAATAACGGCAGGAGTGCTCTGTGCTGTGCTTAGTCGCTCAGTCGTGTCCGACTCTTTGTGACACCAGGGACTGTAGCCCGCCAGGCTCCTCTGTCCATGGGGAATCTCCAGGCAAGAATACTGGAGTGGGTTGCCATGCCCTCCTCCAGGGGATCTCTCCAACCCAGGGATCGAACCCAGGTCTCCCGCATTGCGGGAGGATTCTTTACTGCCTGAGCCACCAGGAAGCACATGTTGGGAGAGTCAGTCACTGATACAGCCCCAACTGTAACTTCTCTATGCTCTTCCTCCCTGGCCCGTAAAATCAGTTTAACTTGATACCTGTCTTTTAGCTTTGTGAAGAAACTGGGTCCTTCATTGCAAGGTGTGAGTAAAAAGAGACTGGCTTCACAGTCATCAAGACAGTATGGTACTGGCACAAAGACAAAAATACAGATCAATGGAACAAAATAGAAAGCCCAGAGATAAATCCACGTACCTACGGACACCTTATCTTCCACAAAGGAGGCAAGAATATACAATGGAGAAAAGACAACCTCTTTAACAAGTGGTGCCGGGAAAACTGGTCAACCACTTGTAAAAGAATGAAACTAGAACACTTTCTAACACCATACACAAAAATAAACTCAAAATGGATTAAAGATCTAAATGTAAGACCAGAAACTATAAAACTCCTAGAGGAGAACATAGGCAAAACACTCTCCGACATAAATCACAGCAGGATCCTCTATGACCCACATCCCAGAATTTTAGAAATAAAAGCAAAAATAAACAAATGGGACCTAATGAAACTTAAAAGCTTTTGCACAACAAAGGAAACTATAAGCAAGGTGAAAAGACAGCCCTCAGATTGGGAGAAAATAATAGCAAACGAAGCAACAGACAAAGGATTAATCTCAAAAATATACAAGCAACTCCTCCAGCTCAACTCCAGAAAAATAAATGACCCAATCAAAAAATGGGCCAAAGAACTAAACAGACATTTCTCCAAGGAAGACATACAGATGGCTAACAAACACATGAAAAGATGCTCAACATCACTCATTATCAGAGAAATGCAAATCAAAACCACAATGAGGTACCATTACACGCCAGTCAGGATGGCTGCTATCCAAAAGTCTACAAGCAATAAATGCTGGAGAGGGTGTGGAGAAAAGGGAACCCTCTTACACTGTTGGTGGGAATGCAAATTAGTACAGCCACTATGGAAAACAGTGTGGAGATTTCTTAAAAAGCTGGAAATAGAACTGCCATATGACCCAGCAATCCCACTTCTGGGCATACACACCGAGGAAACCAGATCTGAAAGAGACACGTGCACCCCAATGTTCATCGCAGCACTGTTTATAATAGCCAGGACATGGAAGCAACCTAGATGCCCATCAGCAGACGAATGGATGAGGAAGCTGTGGTACATATACACCATGGAATATTACTCAGCCATTAAAAAGAATTCATTTGAATCAGTTCTAATGAGATGGATGAAACTGGAGCCCATTATACAGAGTGAAGTAAGCCAGAAAGATAAACACCAATACAGTATACTAACGCATATATATGGAATTTTAAAAGATGGCAACGATAACCCTATATGCAAAACAAAAAGACACAGAGATGTACAGAACAGACTTTTGGACTCTGTGGGAGAAGGCGAGGGTGGGATGTTCAGAGAGAATAGCACTGAAACAAGTATACTATCAAGGGTGAAACAGTCCACCAGCCCAGGTTGGATGCAAGAGACAAGGGCTGGTGCACTGGGAAGACCCAGAGGGATGGGATGGGGAGGGAGGCGGGAGGGGGGATCAGGATGGGGAACACATGTAAATCCATGGCTGATTCATGTCAATGCATGGCAAAAACCACTACAATATTGTAAAGTAATTAACCTCCAACTAATAAAAATAAATGGAAAAAAAAATTCAAAAAAAAAAAAAAGGAGAATGGCTTCAACTAACCTATATGACAAGAATTCCCACCCCCATCTAGGTATTCACTTTCCAGCTACGGAGCCGCCCCCCTTCCGTCCCCTCCACACACTCACCACAAGAAGTATTGATGGTGTCACGGAGCTCTGCGTACTTCCACTTACTGAGGTCATGCTTCTTGGTACCAGCAGCCGCCTTCGTGGCTTGCACAGCAGGGCCTCTGTAATTATCACACATTTTTACATACTGAAACTGGAAACACAAAATGTTGACTAAATAGGCAAGAAAATGAACCTAAGTTTGCAAACTGGAAACTACTGGAAAATATATATATTTTTTATCTTTAATAGACAAGATTAAGAATGGTATACTATGGAATGCCCAGGCAAATTAAAATTTTCCACTGCATCATTTTTGTATTACACTCTAAATCAGAACTTCTGATTCCAATATTCTAGTACCATGGACTCAGAAGTTCTGATTTAAATATTTTTAAATTTAAAAATTTAAAATACCTATTTAAATATTTTACCCACACCTGTTTAAATATTTTAACTCATGGATATATGATCATCAAGACTTAATACATTTATATATATATATATTCCTCAAAATCAAAACTACAATGAGGTATTACCTTACACTAGTCAAAACAGCAATCATCAAAAAGTCTACAAATACTAAATGCTGGAAAGAATGTGCAGAAAAGAGAACCCTCCTACGCTATTGGTAGGAATGTAAATTGGTATAGCCACTATGGGGAACACTATGGAGGTTCCTTAAGAAACTAAAAATAGAACTACCGTATGATCCTGCAATCCCACTCCTGGGCATATATTCGGAGAAAATCATAACTGGAGAAGATACATGCACCCCAATCTTCATAGCAGCATTATTTACAACAGCCAGACACAGAAGCAAACCCAAATATCCAGCGACAAACAAATGGATAAGGAGGATGTAGGTATAATTAATATATACAATGGAATATTACTCATCCATAAAATGAATAAAATAATGCCATCTGCGCAACATGAACCGACCTAGAGATTATCATACTAAGTAAGTCAAACAGATAAAGACAAATAGCAAGTGATATCTCTATAGACTCTAAAAGAAAAGAAAAAAGACAAATGAACATATTTTCAAGACAGAAAAAGATCACAGACACAGAAAAGAAACTTATGGTTGCCAAAGGGGAAAGGGTGGTGGGGAAGAGAAAAATTGAGAAGGTGTTATTAACATACACACTATTATGTATAGAATTAATAACCAACAATGACCTACTGTATAGCCCAGGAACTAAGCTCAGTATTATGTGATTATGTGAAGTGAAAGTCGCTCAGTTGTGTCTGACTCTGCGACCCCAGGGACCATACAGTCCATGGAATTCTCCAGACCAGAATACTGGAATGGGTAGATGTTCCCTTCTCCAGGGGATCTTCCCATACCAAGGATCAAACACACATTTCCCACATTGCAGGCAGATTCTTTACCAGGTAAGCACCAGGGTAGCCCAGGAATACTGGAGTGGATAGCCCATCCATGTAGTAAGGTAAAAGAATCTAAAAAATTGCTGTGCTATACACTTACACGATACTGTAAATCTACTATACTTTAATTGAAAATTGTTTTAAAAATCAAAAGAGAACTCAACATACTTTAAGATCATTAGAAGCACATGAAGGGTTAAGGGCCAGTCACCTGCAGACTATCGGAAGCTGTAGATGACCAAGCCCCAGTCATTCCTACTGGCTGACTCTCCCTGGACGCCTGGATATTTACAAGTCCCCAGGGGAGCAGCCAAACTGCCACCCTTTGCATAAGTCTCCAGACACAAGCTAAAAGAGCTGATGGAGCCTGAAAACTCCTGTGACTTTTGAGTTCAGGTCAAAAGTTTGAAAAGTTCTATAAGCAGATAAAATCACACCTTGGTATTCAGTGAGTAACCGTATGACAGCTAGTAAATTAAAGGAAAATGGTTGTAGGTCATGAGACAGATAACAGAGATTCCAAAGGGTACAAGTAACATGCCCCAACTGGTAGGAACGTTTGAGTGGGAAAACAGAAAGAAATAAAAAATAAAATACATATATTTACAATATAAAAAGTAAAATAATAAATAGTTTAAAAATTAAATAGGATAAGCTGTTTCACAGCAACGCTCCTGAGGGATGATCATGGTATAATGTTCAAAATGAGCTCATATTTTCTCAGCATTTTACATTTTGAAAGACAACAGCAATCATGGCAAACAACCAAGACATACGACACTTAATGAGACTAATGTTATTTAAAAACGATGCTTGAAAATATGAATCGTCCTTCCTGAAATAAAATTACTCCTTCAGTACTAAGCTTAAAATTGAAACAAGCTACTTTTGACTCTTCAAAAGGGGTAGTTATGCTTTTTTAGAGAATAAAAAGTAGCATACTTCACCCCACATACTTAAAAATTGTTAGACATGATGATTTTTAGTCATTTATAAGCCAAGTTAAAGAATAATGTGTGCCCGTTCAGTCCTTCCTGCATTTTCATGGTTACAATCTGTTTCGAGTTCACTGTAGAATTTCTTCATAAGCTGTGTAGCTGGCCATTCTTTACGGAGCTTTTTCTTCTTAAATGCTTTGCTCAAAAAGAGCCAGCTGTGTGTCAGCAAGCTCTCTCTATTACCCTTAACAATAAATTATGCTTTTAACATTATTCAAATACCCGTTTTTTCTTTTCTGCATCCTGAAACCACCATTCAATAAGCTTAACCAAAAAAGTCTCTTTTCTTCCTAGCTCTTCTACCAGTCTTTTCTAGAAAGGCACCTCAAATTATGGGTTTTTGCTGCTGTTTTCTTTCCTTTTGAAAGAGAAAGTGATTCTACACAATATACAGCTTTATAGACTGTCAAAATATATATGAGATGTTGATATACATAAGATGTATTTTGATTCTTCTAAAAATCACACTGAATTCAAATTATTACTGCTTAAAATATGGTTTTACTGTTACCAACTTTTAATTTATATTACCTCAAAGAAAAATACACCTGCTAAAAAGCATATTCAGCATCCTAAGAAGTACATAAATCAAATTCACTTAAATGCTCCCCCCCATCTTTGGAAGTACTAAGATAGTAAAGTGAAGGTTCACTTTCAACGACTGATTATTTAGACTTGTTATAAAGACAATCATGTGAACAACAGGGTTAAGGCAGTGGCAAAATTGACTTTGATCTTTAAAAAAACATTAATTTGAACACTTTCGATTAGCTCTGTAAGTTCAGAATTGAAAGTTAAAAGGTTATTGATTCGTATCCAGGTGATAATGGACCAGATCCTGCTGGGAAGTTCTATTCCTTGGTGGCTCAGCTTTTACACCCTGGTTTTCCATCCCTGTGCTATGGTGGCAGGGGCCTGGGGGCCACATGCTTCCTCACTTCTCTTCCCTTCCCCAGGCACAGTGGGTCTCAGTCAGGGGTCAGCACCACCCTCAGGGGGCCTTTCAAAGTGTCCCTTCTGTCACAAGGACAGGAAGGGTTCCCCGACTGAGCCTGAACTGGAGGGGTCCCTGGTAAGTGCGACAGGACCGACAAGAGACAGTCCCATCTGAACACCAGTTGTATCCCCCCCACTGAAAAACGCCAATTTACAGGAACTCTGGGTTTGTTTTTTTTAACCTTTTTCCATGTTAGTGTGGCAAAAGGGCAGAGTGACATTTCTTGCACAGAAAATTTACATGGAAAGAACAGGCTATTCTATATAACAGGTTCTGGTCCAAGTGATGAAAATATGATTTTGATGTGACACTTATCTCCCCAAATTACACTGCACTAACCTACTCAAAATTTCTGACATCTCTTTCGCCATTTGCTCCCTATAAGAAAAATAATAATACAAGTTACATAAGACAACTATATAAAAGTATAATGAAAATTTCAATAATATTATTGCTTTAGTAACCATATACTATTATTTTACTTTGCAAAAGTTGGTAATACACTTTCTGATAATATAGCCATAAAATACAACAAAATTTTTGTTTAAATCCAGTTAAAGTTATTTGAACTTCATTTTTGCAGTAGAAACTTTTGGATAAAGTCTCATGAGAGCCATGCTTCTGTGATATTTTTATGTACAGAATATAATCAGCATGTTCTAAAAGCATACAGGGAACTTGGTGGAATTCAGAATCTGTACAAGGATTTTTGCACTGGGGTTGCTTGTAAATATTAATTAGGGCATAATGGTGGTACACCAAATGATCTATTTTATGGTGTCAGAGTTTAAATAAGAGTCTGATGTGCTCAAAACTCTAAAATTCTAAATCAAAGCATGCCTAAAAAAATTCAAGTGCATCAAGCACTTGTTAAATTAAAGATCAGAAGTGTTCTGACCTTCCAAGGATAAACATTTCCCAAAGGCAAAAACTTACTTTCTTTATTAACCATAAGACTGTAACTTTTCTCAAAATCTGCTTAATTCTGTGTAATGGAATATTCATGTAATCATGCTCATCAGCTTCATTAGTATTTCATTTTCCTGTTTTGCTCTCTTCCTTCATAATCAATCATTCTCTCATTCATTCTATTCATCAGACTCTGGTAACCTCAAAAATCTTATAAATCAGCAAAAATCAGGAAAAAAGAAGATGGCCATGTTTGCTTCAGGGCTCAGAGCTGGGCCCTGATCAGATAGGAGAAGATCTCATGACATTTAACTGACTGAAACAAATTTCCTACATCAATTTACATTGGTAGCTGTTGCATTCATGGTGATTTTATGTGTATGTGAAACATCTGAGTACCTACTATTGTTTTCCTATAGTTGAGAGTCAGCACTTTTATATTAAAATAAAGAAAATATAATATAAATAAATAAAATATAATAATATAATTATAGACTACTGTCTTTTTATTTCTCTATGTGTATTATTTAGAGAAAACTATTAAAGTAGGTTGCATCATTTATGAAACATATGTTATTGGTACTGGGATCTGATAGAGTTAAGAACCTTCACTATAAAGGGTACAGCTGGAGAAATAAAAGCTGTTAAACAAACTTCCAAATTTTATATATATAGCACATATATAAAAATATATGTAAGAAGTATATTTTATGCATATAATGTATATGTATATCCCAAAATGTTACTTAGATTCTCTCTGTGGGGAGATTTTCACAACAAAAAGACACACAAGCACCACAATTAGCATTACATATATAGAACTTCAAATTATGAGCTGTTTTAGGTGTTAGCAGAATAAACTATTACACATACTAAAAGACAGCTATCTGCCATGACTCAAATACTTTAAATATTTTGTTTATTCTTATTTATATCTCTACATCTACTTCTATAAAGACATCAGTAAGGGCAATTAAAAACACATAAAATGGGTGTTAACGTTTAAACAAAGTTAGCAAACACAAAGAAAGAAACCAAATCATAAACTACTGTGACTGAACACCAAAAAGGAGCATTAAACATTTTTCCTGGGCAAAATAATAATGATGATGATAGTAATAATGACGTAAAATTTACTTCAATGAGGAAAATATTTCTCCTAAAAAGTATCCACAACTTATTAAAAAAGAGAAAAAAAAGGTTACATGATTAAGTCAACTTTAAAAGGGAAATGACATACGGTGTCATTGTGCGTCTTGTTCCATTAATTCTGTGAAAAGAATACATATATTTTAGTCAATACCATAACCAATTCTGAACTGTGAAAATCTGGATTGTGCCAAATTTGTGTTTCAGTGACTGTGAAAATTGATTTTCAAAACTCCATTATCTCTATTTAACCTATGTATGAGAACACTCAGAATTTTAATGTTTTTAAATTTTCATTACAAATGATTGGAAAGAATAAACTAAAGGCATTCCGTGAAAATTAAAGAGTGAATATATTATGTCTAGATTTTAAAAAATTACTCATGTGGGGTCTGTGTTCGGTTTTAGTAGAATCTAGAAATGATAATATTAGATAATGTGAAATCATTACTTTGCATCAAGGATCATTGGTGTTATTAAGTGAAATCATCATGTGAAATACATTACATACGTAGGAAACAATTCTTACTTAGAAGTTACTGGATGGAAATCCAAGCTGGAAAAGTAACTTGAAATTGTTTACTGCAGCAGAATCTATCTACATATATATTTTTAAATATATCACAAACCCCAAGAACAATTGTCATGCATATATTGAGAACAAAGTTACTTAGGTTCTTACTCATAAACATGTTAGAAAGAGTTCAGTGCTAACTAATAAACACTCAGAAACAGTTGTAGCCCATGGAGTGAGATAAAATAATCAAACATGGGAAAATATATAGAGAACATCATCCACAATGCAGTGTTAATGCTTGCAGTACAGCGTATAAAATAACCAGGCAGTCCGGAAGTGAAGGGGTTCACAGGGAACTGAGGGTCAGGAAAAGCTTCCTGGAAGACAGCTGGCAGAAAGGACCTGAAAAGAAACAGTCCAAGGAGGAGACATCATCCCTACAGCTATCCCACAGGAGAACTAAAACTCTTCTGCCCTTCAAGTCATAACCACTTGTGTATCTCCTAATTACTTCGCAGTGATCCCATCACCCAGCTAATGCTGTTTAACTTAAATCATAGGTAGCTCATCCCTTATGCTAAAGTTCCTAAATGGTCCACTCTCTCCGAGACGACTCACACTGGATGAACTGCATCTTTCAGAGGATGGGAAGGAGTCCACATATGAGCTAGTATCTTATTTATAGTACACGGAATGACACTGGATAGAGCTAAATATTCAAATACTTAAACACAGAGTTAACCCATGAACACCAACAAGGGCTCCATTAACGAGTTTTTCACTAAAGAGCTTCAGCCTTAACAATGTCAGCTCTGCCAAGTGCGGAACTTCCTCACACACATCATGGCCAGCCTTGGTTCACTGGGAGCCCGGCCTAGCCCACTAGCTGGTTATCCACAAAGGCTTCAGACACATCACCAAGAGGCAGGTGGAAGGAACTGAGTAGCAGCTGGGCTGAACCTGCAGTTAAAAAGCCAGTATCACACAAAAGCACTTTAACTACAGTAAGAATGCTAGTAATTAAGAGCCCAAAGTGAAGTAAAGTGAAGTCGCTCAGTCGTGTCCGACTCTTTGCGACCCCATGGACTGTAGCCCACCAGGCTCCTCTGTCCATGGGATTCTCCATGCAAGAATACTGGAGTGGGTTACCATTTCCTTCTCCAGGGGATCTTCCCAACCCAGGGATCAAACCCAGGTGTCCCGCATTGCAGGCAGAGGCTTTAACCTCTGAGCCACCAAGGAAGCCCAAGAGCCCAAAGAGTGACTCCAAACCAATGAGCTCAACAATTAATATAACACATAGGCCTATTCAGTTTATTTAAATATAACTTTCATATACAATTCAAGCTCCAGAACTCCCCAATGTAATCACTCACTACAAAATGTGTGAAGGCAACTTAACATACCCTTTTCCTTACCTGTCTTTGTTTTCAGCTAAATAAAATCTAATTGCCACGTTCCAATGCGGACCAAATTTTCTACCTTTCATAAGGAAATAGCAACATCTAGTGGTCGTGTTTTGATTATTTTGTCATAAACAGCACTCGGACATTCTGAAAAGTATGGTTACACACAGGCCCCCAATATATATACCAAATAGGTACTTATGCATAAAGGAATTCCACAAACAAGTTTTGTTTTTACAAATAAATAATAATAACTAATGTTTGTACATTCTATATTTTTAAAAATGAATCTGTTATAGTTAAACCTTCCTGCAACTTTTAGCAAGAACTTCCATATTCTTCTGTTCAGTAGGAAGTTAGACATGAGGTGCAAAGGGGAAGCCTGGCTGAAAAGGATGCAGTCTCATTTCTAAACTCCATCCCAGACATAGCTAGGAGAGCTCACAGATGCTACAAGATAACCACAGAGACTCTGCAACTCCTGCACATGCACTCTGCTAACACAGTGGATACAAAAGAACCACAGAGGCTTCTCCAAGTAACCTTTGGCCATGCGGAGCCAGGAAGGGCTGATGAATATTCTATGTCCAATCTAATTATAACAGACTGAATTATGGGAAGACATAAACAACACAGTCTGTTGTTATATAACTTGAAATTGTCAATCAGCCTTGAGGGTATACCTATTTGCATTCCCTTTCATTGATTCATGGTGGGTACAAGCCCTACTTTGAACCGGGCATAACAAAAAGGAGGAGACCGGAAGAATAAAACGGGGAAGCCAAGAGGGGTGGATAGAAGGATGAGGAGGACTCCTTTGGGAGTGTCCGACTAACAAAAGATCTGTCTGCTTGAGCTGAAATGAGCTGTAACTTGTCTGTTTTACACTTTTTGGTCCATTGCTCCAAATTTTTGTTGTGAGGAAACAAGAACCGAGGAAGAGAAATAAACTGTCCTGACACCTCCACACTCCATACTATTTAGAGATAATTCAGACCTGAGGAGCAAAGTTATTTCCATGCGATTAAGCTGCCTTCTTGGAAAAGTAAATCTTATTTATTCTAAATCACAGTGGGGAAAGGTATGTGTATGTGTAAAATTTCTCAGGCGTTAGGGTATACGATACATTTGAAAAACTTGCAATACATTCCAGCCTCAAATATATTAAACTGGGCTATAACATATTCACCATTTTTATGTCAGTATTTCGTGGCAGATATTTAAAAACTGTCTACCGTTTATACATTCTTTGATAGTTTCAGAGTAAACCAAGATGCTTCCTTTAAGTACTTATGAACTAAAATAGCAGTTTTAATTTTCAACACAGCTTGATGAAATCAACAGTTTCATTCACTTAAGTGTAAAAGTAAATAGAAATAATTTTTAAGTGGCAAATATACCAGGACCTAGGCAACATGACTTTCCCCCTTCTCCCCTTTCCGTGGAAGGAGAAGCAAGGCGGCAGGTGAGTGAGTAAAGCAGCAGCGCCCTTCCCCAGGCTGGCATCGCCCCGCCCACCCGAGTGCCCCGCCCCCGGCCCGCAGGCGGTACCTGCGCAGCACCGCCGGGTCGGCCTGCGCCTCCTCGCTGATGAGCTCCGCCTCGCTCCGGGCGATGCGCAGCGCCAGCTCTCGGTCCCGGCGCTCCTGCTCCAGAACCGCCTGCTGCTGGGACTCCTCCTCCCGCTGCCGGGCCAGCTGCGCCTCCACCTCTGCCTGCCGGCACAGAAGGCCGTGACTCCGGGCCTCTCTGCTTGTTTACCCGCTCATCCCCCTCACTGTGCACACTTACTCCATACACGTTTTTCTTTTCATTTTTTTTTAAACTAAGAAATACATACTCTTTAACCAGAAATCTCCCATCTTGTCCACTTCTATATTATGATTAATGTATCCTCATGCCCCAAACCAAGAGTCTGCCGTTCTATCACTAGAATATGAGTTTCTCCCAAACATCACATTAGTAGCCTAGGTGTGACCTGAATACCAACACCTACACTGCAGATTTCAGGAATTTAAAGTCTTGGTTGTGCTCAGGATAAATCAGAAAGCCAAGACAGACATACACTCAAAATAGGATTAATTATTCTCAGACATGGATTAAAAAAAAAAAAAGATGGTGGAGGTAGGCAGAATATCTTAATCCTAACCTATTAATATTAGCGTCTACAACGTTATAAAATAACATTTTAAAATATTAGATAATTATGTTGTGACTGAATGCTGATCTGACTTTCCCCCTCTGAATAACAACAAACTAATACTTACTAAACAAGGCACTGTTCTAAATGCTTTAATAGGTATTACTTCATTTAATGCTCACAATTATTATTTATCTCCATTCCAGAAAAAACTGTGGCCCACAGTCACTCACTGTAACTCCTGCAAAATCACAATTTCTGTCAGTGAGAGGCTGGATTTGAACTCACTTCCCTAGCTCCAAAGTCCCTTCCCATAACCACTTCTGAAACTGCCTGTGCTCTCTAGGATAAATCAATAACAACTTATCTAGTAAATTAAGATCTTCTGTTTTATAGTTTTGTAGATTGTGTTTAGTAAGAATTCAGTCTGACTGCCTAGAGAGTACAGACCTGAATACGTTTTTCATCATCTTCCCTTTTCTTTCTTTCTTCTTCTTCTTGTTTTCTCTTTGCTTCCATCTCAAGTTTCCTAAAAAAAAGAAAAAAAAAAAAGAAAAATTAGAAAACTATTCAAAAACTTAACAGAAAATAAGAAACTCTTTAGAAGAAAGTTTAACTATTAATAAATAAATGTTACAAAATGGGAAGTCAAATTAACCTCCTGGCTATTACATTATTATCTTATTTTTTGAAAAATAAAATTTAACTGAGAGCAGCTCTTCAGAAACAAAAGAAATATAATTATACTCCATAACTGTTAACATCTCTGGATTAACTTGGTTACCAAGCCTACTTGTAAGGTCTTGATCACACTGCCTCTCCAATTAGACAACTCAAATTCTTTCTGTCTGCCCTACTGTGGCAATCTTCCAAAATGTTACCAGTTTTAAAACTGAAGAGAAGAAGTACCTTCCTCCTAGATCATAAAATAATGTGAAAGTCATAGTTTCAAAAGGAAGTTAAGAAATCCTCAGGTGTGAGTTTAACCAAAATTCAAATTATACTTAAAATCATTTTATGCTATTGAAAAGTAAGCTTACTTTCTCCATTTTCAAACTTCTTTTAGAATTATAATTTAAATATAAGAACATCACTTTTACAGATAAGAATATTCATTAAACACCATCAACACTTCAGCATTCACTAATCCAAGACAACAACATAAATGCCTTACATCCTTCTTTCCTCCTCCTCCTTTCTTCGACGTTGTTCATCTTCTTCACGCCTTTTTCTTTCTTTTTCCATTTCTTCTTGAATGCGCCTCAGCCTTTCTGCTTCTTCTTCCTGCTGCTTTTTTTTCTGTAATGCGCTGAGAAGGACCTCTGAGCTTTTAACTAGAGCATCATATTCTTTCTGTATTTGTTCCCTTGTCATCATCGTGGACTTAAAGAAACAATACAATGGACTTGCACTTAAAAAGTTATCTCTTCTGTTGTACAACAATTTGAACACACTAAACACCACTGAACTGTACATTTAAAAAATGGTTAAAGTGGTAAGTTTAATGGTATGTGTTTTACCACAATTAAAAAAAAAAACCAACATGCACATACACAGCAAAACTGAAAAAGCTGGTAAGCAGTAGGCCCATTATTGCTTAACTATTATATAATATTAAAAAATTTAAGTTATCTCTATGAACAAAATTTGAGTCTACTTCCTATCAATCAAGTAATCAAATATCTTAAGAGTGTACTTTAAACAATACTGTACGTTAAAGTTTATTTTTTAAGAAGTGATTAATTTTGCCGGAGTTTACTACTCTTTAATATTAATGATCAAATAATACCTCAGGAATATTTAAGAAATTATCATTATACCCAAAATTGTTAGATGATTTTCTTAAATGTGGCTGGGTTGATTTTAATTGATTAATACCACATAAACAGTGGTGGCTCTGGACAGATCTATAAAATCAGCTAAGGCTATCCAAGGCATTTTCAGTTTTCTCTTGACTTCTTTCTCTGTTCTCACTCCAAGATTTATCATTATCTGTAGAAAATATCTAAAAGCCTCACTTTAAGATACTATATCTCACATAACTGAACTGAATTATGAAAGTCAATGAGAAAAACATTGAGGCCCTAAAATATAACAGAAAAAGATATGAATAGACAGAATATAATCAACAAACAACCTCAAAAAATAAATATTCAATCCCACTAGTAATCAAACAAAAACCAAAACCAAAAGGGCCTCTTTTTTTTTTCTCTTATAAAATATGGGAGAAAATTAATTGTTATTTCATAAAAGTTAAGTAATTTATGATATAGCCTATATGAAGATAAAGATGTTAGGAATCTGAAATAAAAGAACAATGCAAAAATATGTGCATCATATTGAAAAATATGTGCATCATACTGATTGAGATGGAATTGAGAGGAATATGTAACAGTATATAGTTGAATGTGTTAGTGTGAGGGGTAAAAATGTGGGGGTGATCATCATACTGATTGAGATGGAATTGAGAGGAATATGTAACAGTATATAGTTGAATGTGTTAGTGTGAGGGGTAAAAATGTGGGGGTGATTTTCTCCAAGTTTTTGATAATATTACATTACTTTTAAAATTTAAAAATTAGTTTCCAAAAGTAGAAAAACATGAAACAAAAGAAAATAATTTGCATTAATTTTCTCTCAGTAAGGATTCTGCAAAAGCTTACCAACAGAGTGTAATATTTTAGTTAATATTTTGGAAAAATCTTTCCTAGCAATAAATGAATTGCACAAAAATTATCTTCTTTTTAATTTTTTTGCTATGAAAAATTTCAAACACAGAGTGGAGAAGATAATATAAGTATCACTTATCACTGAGACTCAACACATGTAACTGTCTGTATTTTTTTTAAAAAAGGACATTTTTCTATAAAATTTCAATATAATAACAAAAATATTAAACTGTTTTTAAACGTCAAAGAGTCATTTGGGTTAAAACTACATACCTTAATTCTGGCCATTAAAGCATCAATAGAAATTTCAAGGTTCTTGACCTGTTTATTCATCTCTGGTTTTCCATCTTTCAATACACTTACTACTTCATTAAATTTATCAAGTCGTTTCTTCAGTGTGCCCACCTTAACCAGGCCATCAATGCTGCGAAGACAATACTTAATCAGTTTAATTCTGCCACTGAATCATACAAATAGACTTTTCATTTTAATTAAATGCTAAAAATATGACTAAACAGAATACTTCTGCTTTCATGTTATGCGATATTCTTTTTTTAGGTCTCTTGTTGAGGGTAAAAGAAATCATCAAACATGGATGTGAATGACATTAATATCTGTCAGTAAGATTTAAGACTTCTATACTTACACTGAAAAATTTGAGAATTCAAATTACAGAAAAACTTAAAAGGAGTAATTGCTTCGAAAATATGTTATAGATGAACAGTTATTCAGACCTCCAAATTTAAAATTTCTAAATAATAAAAGAATCAAATAAGAAATAAAGCCTAAATTTACAGTGACACAATATAATCCCTACAGATAATCTTGAAAATTATGGGCAAAACATTAATGAGATGTTTTTGAAAACAATGTTAATTTGACATTTACTAATAAACTCGTCATTAAAATAATCAGAATAAAACAGCTTTCAATCTTTTACACTGTTTACATTTTTCTAATCTAAACCTTATGTCCCTTACTTATGGCAGAAAGTGAAGAAGAACTAAAGAGCCTCTTGATGAAAGTGAAAGAGGAGAGTGAAAAGTTGGCTTAAAGCTCAATATTCAGAGAACTAAGATCATGGCATCCCGTCCCATCACTTCATGGGAAATAGACAGGGAAACAGTGTGTGAATTTGTTTCTTTGGGCTCCAAAATCACTCAGATGATGACTGCAGCCATGGAATTAAAAGATGCTTACTCCTTGGAAGGAAAGTTATGACCAACCTAGACAGCATATTAAAAAGCAGAGACATTACTTTGTCAACAAAGGTCTGTCTAGCCAAGGCCATGATTTTTCCAGTAGTCATGTATGGATGTGAGAGTTGGACTATGAAGAAAGCTGAGCACCAAAGAAATGATGCTTTTGAACTATGATGTTGGAGAAGATTCTTGAGAGTCCCTTGGACTGCAAGGAGATCCAACCAGTCCATCCTAAAAGAGATCAGTCCTGGGTGTTCATTGGAAGGACTGATGGTGAAGCTGAAACTCCAACACTTTGGCCACATAATGTGAAGAGCTGAGTCATTTGAAAAGACCCTGATGCTGGGAAAGATCTAGGGCAGGAGGAGAAGGGATGACACCCGATGAGATGGTTGGATGCCATCACCGACTCAATGGACATGAGTTTGGGTAAACTTTGGGAATTGGTGGTGGACAGGGACGCCTGGCATACTGTGGTTCACGGGGTTGCAAAGATTCGGACACGACTGAGCAACTGAACTGAACTGAACCTAAGCTACTTCAGATCCTTTTACAGAATGAGGCAAGTAATGAATGAATGAAGAAATTAATTAATTAATATCCAACAAGTAACAGACTAACACATCTTTTTACAAAGAACACGAGAAAAAAGAAAACTCTGAGTATGCAAGCTGCTCTTTATTTTGACCTTCTAGCCATTTTATATTAAACAGGTATCTTGGATTCTTTAAACTCTATTCATCTTACCGAGGTTTGTGTCTCCTTTTGCAAAGCCACATTCGAACAGTTTTCTGCATTTTAATGCAGGCTTCAGCTCGATATTTTATTTTGTTTTTCACTATGTGTAAGAGGAAAATATAATGATAGAAAATTACTTAGCTTAAATTAAACATACAGTATTTCTAAAAACCACTCATTTCCACAAAGCAATTCTCAAGAAACATAAAAATCTCGATGAACATATACCAGACATCAAAGTTGGCACAACATTTCTTTAGTTCCTTAAACTTCTTAAAACAAAAAGTATATCAACTATATGGCTAAGTGTACAGTTTAAATATGCTATTTCCTTGTTACGCTAAATTAATGTGTCCCAAACTGTCCTAGGCAATATTGGCTTAGGAAATGTTAAAGCATGTGCCTTTTTGCTTTTTTATTAGGTGCACTTTTTTTTCATTGCTGCATGTGAGCTTTCTCTAGTTGCAGCGAGCTGGAGCTATTCTTCACTGTAGTGGCTTCTCAACAGGATAGTGGAGCACAGGATCCAGGTGCATGGGCTTCAGTAGTTGCAACAGACTCCGGAGTGCAGACTCAATAGTTGTGGCACCCAGGCTGAGTTGCTCTGAGCATGTGGCATCTTCCCGGGCCAGGGATTGAACCCCTGTCCCCTGCATTGGCAGGCAGATTCTTAACCACATACCACCACGGAAGTCCAACAGGTGTGTCTTGAAAAAAGGATTCACCTGTCAAATGAACTCGGGAAAAGCTATCTGCTACACCTCCTTCTGAAGATTCACAATGAACATACCATGTGACCTCTAAGGATCCCACCACAAAGGACTCTACTTAACTTCATCACTCAGAACATCCTAGACTAATCTGACCTGGAGACATTCCCCATCAACATCCTGCAGCGATTCTGTCTACTTACTGACTTGACCACTGCACAATATAGTCCACAAACAGTATAGTAGAAATAATGTTAATAAAATATGCTTTCCATCATAATACAATGTTTAAAGCTGAAAGCATTTAACTATAGTGACAAGTATGCTCATATTTCAGTTAGAAAGTGATGGGAAAAGAGCTTCTGTTATCTTTTTTATTACAGTTTTGGTTTTATTTCTATTACAACTGACTAACAAGACCTCATGGTTGCATGCTACCTGCATGGTTCCTTCTCGTTAGGTCAAAGGAATTTTTTTTTAATTAGTAAGCAGAAATGTGCTGAATCCTTTTCCTGTGCCTCTAGCACTGTTCCAGGTAAGGTGGAGAGTTGGGCGGGGCTTTAACATTTTAATCAAGTTACTGAAATACTCCCTATGACTAAAGGTTTTGCATAGACCACCACCATCAGGTAACCCACAATTACCCTGTCCCTCATCCCTGTTTTACGTCAGAGACAAGTAGTTGTTCTAACATTCTGAGACTTTAGGCTTTGCCCTGCATTAAAGAAAAGTCAGAATCACTAGAGTTAGAGGCCCTGGGAAGCCAGGAAAACCAGGTTGGGAGCCACTGAAGTCACTATGCAAGCTGGGGAGAGGGGCTCCACGAAGACAGTGGCAACAAGGAGCCAAGATGTGCAGTGTTTGGAGGGGAACAACAGAGTTCGGTGACTGGCATGATTTCAAGGACAAGAAAGAAGAGACAACACAACTGTGAAATCTTCCGTGTGTATTCTGGTGACGCCATGTGGGTGCAAAGAAAAGTTCTGGTTAAAGTCCCAGAGACTGGGGTACCGGAGGGGGAGAGGAGAGCAAGGGGGAGAGACTAGGGGAGAGAGGGAAGGAATCAGGATGGTGAGACAGAGTTTTCAGAACAAGATGAAGTTAACTCTAATACATGTGATTAAAGAAGCTAAGTATCACACACTCAAGAAACCGAGGAAGTCCCCAAGTACTCATTTATCACATACTACATCTAAGGTGTTACGTGAGGAACCAGGGATACACTGTGAGTAAGTGACGCAGTCCCTGGGGCGTAGTTCTCACCACTGAGACACGTTAATAACGTTCCACAAACCAACTCGTTTCCAACATAATTCCCGTTCTGAGAGTGGAAGAAAACACCTACGTTTGATGACGGACAGCGAGCACCACTGGACCTTCTTCCAGCGACTGCAGATTAGCCAGTGGTGGACCCTCTTGACCAGCTCTGCTAAGTGGTCAGGGTCAGACTTCATAATCTGATCAAACTCTGCAAACTGGGAAATCAAATAATTGACTAATAATATCAAAAGACAGACGTGCTTAAACACACAGCGAGATACAAAATAACCAGAACACAAATCAAAATCTAGTTTTCTCTAAGTGGTCACAAGCCCATTACACAGACACGTCTTAGTGGAGTTTCACAGCAAACCCAGACACACGTGACTGAATTTTGCTGTCTTTCTCCTCCTTCCTCCAGGACATGTTTTGTAGAGGTTATGGGGAGGGTGAGCTACTCATTGCTAGTTAGCAGACTCAGTAATAAACGTAGGAAAAAAATTTTAAATGACCATTGTAGATGATGGGCAAAAAGGTTTTATGGAGAGAAGAATGAAAAAAAGTCTAATATCTCTCTGAACTGGCTCATCCATATTCCCAGATAACTGTTTATAAGTGAAGGTCAGCTCTATAAAATTGGGTACCACCAAAACTACTGTGTCTCTCCCAACCCCATCCTTCTTTTGGTCAGAAAGAAGAAACTGCTACTAAGAGACAGACAACACAAGTGAAATAGCTATTAGGTTATTAAATCACAAAATGCATTATTTCCACAATTTACCACCAAATTGCATATTGATTTATATCCTTTACCAAATATCCCACTACAATATATTGAGGATGTCACACACCTATCAAAATAAAAGCTTCTTATGATCAAAATTAAAGGTAACAGAGATTAAAGATCTTTGAAAATTTGCCCTGTGCCTGCACTGTGTCCTTCTGACTGATTAATTTTTCTGGAGGCAGATAAAACCAAGTGCTTTCTCTGTCAAGCTATAAATCCCTAAAATAGTTATTATAGATCTGAAATAAGAAATGCTGAGTTTCTGATAAATATGTATGATTACAGCTAAGTCAACTATGAATACTTATATATTCATTTTCTCTTAACTTGCTTCCATTTATGATGAGATGATACAGGTTTTCAGCAGTAAAAATATTCATAGGAAAGGGCATACATTGGTAATGCATTACACAGATTTCATCTCATACCTCAAAATGTGAAATCAGACTTATTTATCTGATTAATTTAGCCTTCAAGGCACTAGAGATATTTATGAATGATTTTGCTAAGTCAAACAAGTATGGTTGTCTATTACATAATAACTATTATGTTTAAAATTATGAGAAAGCAATATTCAATCAATATTAAAGAAGTCAAGAGTGGTGAAAATACTATGAACAGACTGTGAATGACATGTAAGTATTTCTGCATCATATGTATTTAGTCATGAAATATTCCACAACTAAATTTTGTATCATAGTACAAGACCAGTGCAAGAATCTGTAAATACTAAAACTATGGGTAGCCTAAGAAAACCGTATTAGCACAAAAGTACGCATACAGCCATCCCTTCTATGATTTAACAGAAGTCAGCAGCGACTCCAGTCCAATTTTTTATATGCTATACATCTATCATGCTCTAACAGATCTTGTCCTCACAATGAACACTCAAAAGTATTGTGAAACTTTTAATTACTGAAGCCCGAATCAATGTTTTAGAAAAGCTTTCAACTTGTTTAAAATAGAAGTATTCCTGGTTAACCCTTATTTTAAGTAAAAATTTCAACTAAACAATCCTCTGATTCCAATACTTCCAAAGCAAGAGGAAAAAAAAACAAAAACAAAAACTCTATAGAGTGCTATACATTGGAAAAATTCTCACCAGTGGAAAAATTTTGTGTATGTGTGTCCCATATATATGCATGCTCTAAGCGATTATCTAATTTAAGAATAATATAAATCACTAAACACTTAAAAATATTCACTGACTCCAACTGTCCATACTAATTATGTTACAGTCTAAAATAAAAATGCATTTACCTTGCCAGGTCTAAAAAATACTTTAGTCAACCCAAACTTGTAGTCGACTTCATTTAAGCCCAAAGCTTTAAAAAGAGCCTGAAAAATAAAAGTTAAATGCCAATTAGGAATTAATAAGAAAGAGTTTATAGCTAATAAATCCCAATTTATGTAGTATTTGTACCTTACAAAATAGTCTTGGATCTAATCGTGCAAGTTTATCTGGCATATACTTTTTATACATGTTGTAGAGTTCATGAAATGAAGCTCGTGATGGGAAACCGCCTTGCATCAAGTCCAAGACAGACACCATACCTAGATTCATAAACAAACACAAGTTTTACTGCCAATAACCATACAGAAGTCCAAAGATAATTTGCAAATGATCAAAGAATTTTACAAATTAGAAAGGGTAATTTACAGAAATTATCCACAATGAAATATTACATAGAAAAATCATACTTACATCATGCTTATGTTCCCAACTTATCTACCACCTAAAAACTACTGCAACCAAATTTCATCTCAGACTAGCTTTTCTTAATATATTCAATGTTGATAATATTTAGTGCTGCTAAGACTGTGGGGGAAAATTACTTTTTAATACACTATTTATGGAAATAAAAGATGCTTCAGGATTTTGACAGCAGTGCTACAGAATCTGTCAAATTTAAACACATGCATATTTTCTGTTTTAGTGTTGACACAGACTTCTCCAACAGAAATAAATGAAGATATCTGCAAGTGATGTTCATTGTGTCCCTGTGTGTAAGGCATGATATTAGAAATAAAATAAATTGCAAGAAAATGAAAATAAAGTAAAACTAGCCTGACTATATTTTCTAGAGATAAACTACTGGTCTCTTGAAAATTCAAATGTAGTTTGTATCTATTTTTTTTGCTGGAAATCTTTGTGTCACAGTATACAAGGCAAAGACCTGCATTCGGCTTTCCAAGTTCTGAGGTTACTTCTGGAGTAAGATTAAGAGTCTCCAAGACGAAGACTGGTTCTCACCAGCACTTAAAGCAAATGGAGAAGAAAGAAGACTATCTCACTCTAAAGACCCCCATATTTCACTCACCTCTCAAAGAAGCTAGTCTACTGGGGTAAAGAGTCTATAGGATGACTATTGACATACAGTATAACTTTAGTAAATGACTGATTTGAGCCTTGAGTCAGTGTGAGCTTTTCATGGCAGGAAAAGCATAAGAAAAGGCTCAACTATGATAATACCAGGACTTTTGTTTATAAAAAGACCTGGATTTCAGTCTACAGGACTATTTAAATAGATGAAGAAAATAAGATAATTCAATAAAAAGTATTAGGAGTATCAGACATAAGGAAAACAAAAATAACATCAGCGCCATACCTCACTCCTTATAACCAAAATAAATTTCTGCTGGTCAAAAATTTAAATTAGCAAAATAAAATTATCAAGTATTCTTAAAATGGGTAGGTTTTTATTTTAAAATAATCTCACTGGAAAGATAGTCTCTCTAGGCAATCAGATTGAATTTTAATCTGACTGACAAAGGTGTAAAACCCCAATAATACTTAGGGATGATGACAGTGCAGAAAAACACACACGTACATTCTTAGCGGGAGAGTAAACCAGTGTGACAGTTTCAGATGGCAATTTGGGATATTTATATTATTAATATTAAATGCTAATAACAGACAGTTATCCCTTTGACTATTTTTCACTTCTATCAATCTATCCTACAACTTGTCACATATGTGGGCAAAGATACACATAGAGAAGGTCTATAAATTCACTGGGTCATTGCTAGTAATACAAAACACAGAAATAAATACTAATCAAATTATACTATAATCTTATGACAGAATATAATATATTAATTAGAAATAATAAGGCAGAGCTTTAGCAAGTATAAAAAATATGTTCAAGGCACAGAGTTAAATGGTCACCTTTATGAAGTGAGACTTCTTTTTACTTATATTATTCTGTACCATTTCATTTTTGTTACAGTGAACATATATAACTATTATAATTCTCAATATAATTATATAGTATATGTAATACATAATTTATACATACAACTATAATATATAACATGCTATATATTATAATAAAACAAAGTTTAATAATAAATTAAATATAATATTAAATTTAATTTAATAGAACACACAAAGGCAGTTATTCTTATGGAAAGAAATTTCCAGAACTAGACTGAGGTTCTGGCTCTGTTTGGAGAAATAAAAGTAAGGTTTGATTGGTACTGTCAGAACTGTTGCCCACGTATATCAAATAAACAAGTACCCTTAGAAGCGTGAGCATCCCAACCTCTGAGCCCCTTGGCTTGCCCTACTGCTGCAGACAACGTAGGAAGTGACTCACAGAAGTTCTTTAAGAATTTCATGAAGCTTAATAAATTACCAAGTCTATGGTTACTTTCTCCACACTTGAAGCTAATTTACTCTAAAGATATTCTGAGGCTTAAAAATGTAAAAATCACCAAACCAAGTACCCTTCCTTCTAGAGATTCGCATGCCCCGCTTCTCCGCAGGGGAGTCTGGGGAAGCGCCTCCTGGTGCAGTCCCGGCTGGCCATCCTTGGAGCCCTCTCTGCTCCATCCAGGGAGCTGGCCCCCAAGTTAAAGGAAGACCTGCCTTCTCTTACTTTCCCTTGCTCTCCCTGGGACTGGCAGATCAGAAGACTGTCCCTTTAGTAAAAGTGTCCTAAATTAATTATTCTCCTTAAGTTGGAAAAAAAATAGAAATGGAAAGGCAAAGGGGAATTCCAATCTTAGATGTCTTTATTTTAGAAAGCGTCACAAATATTTTTACTTCTGCCAGTTATTGGTAATTTTTTTTTTTACTTTTTCTCATTACCTAGTCATACAACTACCAATTCTAAGCCATTTTACTGTGATTAGTATTATAAAAAAAAAAAAAACTATTATGAATTGGTGGCATCTATTAAACTGCCAACGTAGCTTCTTAAAATGAACTGCTTACTGAAAGAGGAATCCCAGCTAAAGCATTAGTGGGTCCACATTCTGCTAATCTAATAGTGCATAAAGCTAAATCTAAACACACTTGACTTTCCAGGACACTGGATGCTCAGTAGGAGGTAAATGATATTATATTAGGCTAACTAAATCCTAAAGAGAAATTTAAATGAGGAAAATAACTAGACTCCAAGCAAAAATGATCTGAATAAAATATTACCAAAATACAACTATACATATGCAGGAATAAAACAGACTTCATTTATTTAACTTTCTGGTGGTGGTGGCGTAGTCACTAAATTGTGTCCAACTCTTGCGACCCCATGGGCTATAACCCATCAGGCTCCTCTGTCCATGGGATTTCTCAGGCAAGAATACTAGAGTGGGTTGCCATATTTAACTTTCTAGTATTTGTTAAAATCAGTCAAGAATAAATCTTTATTTCCTAGCCTGTGTATTTCATTAAACAGATATTTACTAAGTCTAGTATATGCGTTGTATCGCCAAGAAGCAGGAACGTGCATAAAAGTCAGGACGGTTTCTGCCCTCAAGAGTTTACAGATTAGAGAAAGGAGAAATTAAATAAAATCCATGACTCTGAAATGAAGGTGCTGAGCACCCTTTGCTCAGGCCCCCTTCCTTGTTGCGGGCATCAAGAAAGGTTTTCACAAGGAAATGACAACAAGCTCAGATGTGAACAATGAAGACAAAGGGTAGATGAGAGTTTATCAAACAGAGGAAGCAGCAGATGCAGAGGCCCCGGGACCAGAGGGAATAGAGGGCATTTAAGAAACTAAAACAAAGCCCAGAGTGACTGGAGAGCAGAGAGGAGAGAGAGAAAACAGAGAAAAACGGGAACATGGGCCAGATCACATGGGGCCTCACAAGCTGCAAGAATTCTGCTCTTTACCCCAGCCAGAGTCAGAAGCACTGCAGCATGTTACACAATAAAAAGGCATGCTCAGGTTTGAGTTGTAGGGCAGTAATTCTGGACGTATGCGAAGAACAGACCAAGCAGATACAAAGAGGATGGTTAAGAAACGTCAGCAAAAAGTCAGGTGAAAGATGGTGACAGCTTGAATTAGGGAGTCCCAAGGCTCACTGCTTAAAATGTTCCCACCACAGGCAAGCAGTGGTAATTATGTGGCCTGATGAGATTCTGAGTTAATGCTATGGTGGTGACCATTTTGCAATATGTAAGTGTATCAAATCAACACACTGCACAACTTGAACTTATACAATGTTATATGTCAATTACATCTCAGCAAATCTGAAGGAGTAAAAGACACACTCCTTAGGTCACATGGAAAGGGGCTTGCGGAGACCCAGACTGAGAACATGTCTAGGCCGTCCAGTGTGGCAGCTTCTGGACACATGCTCTGTAGCTGCACCAGCCACACAAGACTTGTTGTGTCCGACTCATGGACTGCAGCATGCCAGGTCTCCCTGTCCCTCATCATCTCCCGAAGTTTGCCCAAGTTCATGTCCATTGCATCAGTGATGCCATCCAGCCATCTCATCCTGATGCCCTCTTCTCCTTCCGCCCTCAATCTTTCCCAGGATCAGGGACTTTTCCAATGAGTCGACTCGTTGCATCAGGTGACCGAAATACTGGGGAGTCAGTTTCAGCATCAATCTCTCCAGCGGGTACCCAGGGTTGATTTCTCTTAAGATTGACTGGTTTGATCCCCTTGCTGTACAAGAGACTCTCAGGAGTCTTCTCCAGCACCACAGTTCAAAGGCATCAGTTCCTTGGTGTTCTGCCTTCTTTACAGTCCAGCTCTCACAACCGTATGTGACCACTGGGAAGACCACAGCCTTGACAATACGGACCTTAGTTGGCAAAGTAATATCTCTCCTTTTCAATACACTGCCTACGTTTGTCGCGTGTGACTATTTACATTTAACTTTTTTTAACTAAGCACAATTACTAGTCACATTTCAAGGGCTCAGCAGCCACAAGTATCTAGTGGCTGCCATACTGCACAACACGGGTACAGATTATTTCCACCCCCACAGAAAGTTGTATCAAACAGCACTGATAGAAGTGGGAAGAAGAACAGGTCCAACAAGGGATACCCAGGTGGAAGACGACAACCCTGCACAGGAGGCAGGAACGGCCAAGCATCAAAGGAGAAGCAGGGACACACGCTGTTTTAACAGTCAAGGAAAGGCGATGTTACAGCGAGAGAGTGAAGCCTGACACTGCGGCAGTCCCCTGAGATGAGGTCTGCAAAGGAACGCCTAATTCAGGATCAGGAGAGACACCAGAGGTCCTACCCAGAATCATCCTGGTGGGAGCTGATTTCTCCTGGGCTCAAGAGTCAGTGGAAGGCAGGAAACTGAGAAAGCAAGAAGAGAATATTCTTGGAGAGAAAAGCAAAACCTGGAGAACAGAAAGTAAGGCCAGAGATGGGAAAGGAGCTGGAAATGTTGGTGAGAGGGAAAGAAGATGAGGTTCAGGGGGAGAGGCCGTCTCGAAGCTTCAGTATAGGTCGTCAGTACTCAGGGTTCCTGAGAAGGCAGGGAGGGATGAATCCAAAACACTTCAGTCTCAATGAGGAAGAGAGGCACTTTCTGCTTTCCATCAGGAGGGAAGGTATGCAGGTAAAGATATTTCGCAGCGCACAGGTAAGGCATTAGCTTTTGAGTAAAAAGAGGTGAGGCTGCCTGTTGGCAGAGGCTCAGAGACCAGAGGAGGGCAGGGTGCATCAGACTGGTCTCTGGGGAGAAACAAAACCTGCCGGCCAGGAAAACTCGATGGGTGGGTATAAGAGCCCTTTGAAGGTTAGTGATCATGAGTTTACAACAGTGTCCATCTGCCTTGCCCACCTTCTCCATGCAGGTGAGGAGAGAACGATTCATCAACAGCTAAGGTTTTAGGAGAGGGGTCACGGGTAGACACAGCTGAGTGCTGAAGAATTCATGCTTTTGAAGTGTGGTATTGGAGAAGACTCTTGAGAGTCCCTTGGACTGCAAGGATCCAATCAGTCCACCCTAAAGGAAATCAGTCCTGAATATTCATTGGAAGGACTGACGCTGAAGCTGAAACTCCAATACCTTGGCCACCTGATTTGACGAACTGACTCACTGGAAAAGACCTTGATGCTGGGAAAGACTGAAGGCAGGAGGAGAAGGGGACGACAGAGGATGAGCTGGTTGGATGGCATCACCGACTCGATGGACATGAGCTTGAGTAAACTCCGGGAGTTGGTGATGGACAGGAAGGCCTGGCGTGCTACAGTCCATGGGGTCGCAGAGAATCAGACACGACTGAGCAACTGAACAAAACTGAACTGAAGCTTATATAATTGGGGGAGGGCTGTTTAACAAATAACTACGAAATTATAAATTACAAAAAATATAATATCAGGTACAGGGTTCTGAAAGGAGCCCATATAAACAAGGCACTCTGAAACTAAAGCAACCTCAGCTTTCTAATAAATCTGCTGCTAAGAGGAGCAAGAAATGGAGTCAGGTTGGCAAGAGGGTTTCAGGAAGTGTCACAAGCCTGAATCTGTAGGGGGAAAGGCCTGTGCCCTGGGAGAGGCAGGGGTGGTATGAGAAGGACAGAGGACGGGCACAGGATAAAGAAAACAGTCCCGGGCCCCTGACCTGCGTGACTGGGTCAGGTTTTGGTATCCTTGCATCTCATTCTACTATTTGTAAAAAAAAAGAAAAAAGAAAACAGCATAATTCCCTTGGCTCCCATGGAACTTTTCTGCACTTGGTTAAACCATCACTCTCTACCCTTCACCTGGCCATGTCTGTCCTTTCTCAAGGGCACTGTGTTGTTTGTTTGTTTTTTAATAAGTAGCAGAGTGAGAAGCAAGGACGCCAAAACCTGGCCCAGTTACATGGGGAATGAACCGCTATGGGACTGAAAAGGCCATGGAAAGAAAGCTACAGAAAGCACCCACAGACGGAGATCTGGGTTCACAGCTACAGGGTTTTTTTTTGGTTTTCTGAGTTATTTTTAATTTATTTTTTAATTGGAGGAAAACTGCTTCACAATGTTCTGTTGGTTTCTGTCATACAATAATGCAAATCAACCATAATTATACATACATCCCCTTCGGACATGAAACAACAGACTGGTTCAAAATTGGAAAACAAGTACATCAAGGCTGTATACTGTCACCCTGCTTGTTTAACTTACATGCAGAGTACATCATTCGAAATGCCAGGCTGAATGAAGCTCAAGCTGGAAGCAAGACTGCCGGGAGAAATATCAATAACCTCAGATATGCAGATGACACCATCCTAATGGCAGAGAGTGTAAAAAAACTAAAGAGCCTCTTGATGAAGGTGAAAGAGGAGAGTGAAAAAGCTGGCTTAAAACTCAATATTCAGAAAACTAAGATTATGGCATCTGGTCCCATCACTTCATGGCAAATAGATGGGGAAAAAATGGAAACAGTGACGAAGTTTATTTTCTTGGACTGCAAAATCACTGCAGATGGTGACTGCAGCCATAAAATTAAAAGACGCTTGCTCCTCAGAAGAAAACCTATGACAAAACTAGACAGCATATTAAAAAGCAGAAATCAGTTTGCTGACAAAGGTCCGTATAGTCAAAGCAATGGTTTTTCCAATAGTCATGTACAGATGTGAAAGCTGGACCATATAGAAGGCTGTGCTCTGAAGAATTGATGCTTTCAAACTGTGGTGCTGAAGAAAACTCTTGAGAGTCCCTTGGACAGCAAGGTGATCAAACCAGTTCATTCTAAAGGATATCAACCCTGAATATTCATTACAAGGACTGATGCTGTAGTTCCAATACTTTGGCCACCTGTTGTGAAGAGCCAACTCATTAGAAAAGACCCTGATGCTGGGAAAGACTGAAGGCAGGAAAAGAAGAGGGTAACAGAGGATGAAATGGCTGGATGGCATCACCAACTCAATGGACATGAGTTTGAGCAAACTCCAGGATATGGTTAAGAACAGGGAAGCCTGGTGTGCTGCAGCCCATGGGGTGACAAAAAGTCGGACACGACTGAGCCAGTGAACAACCACCCCACCCCTGCCTCTTGAGCCTCCCACCTCTCCAGGTCATCACAGGGCGCCAGGCTGGGCTCCCTGTGTTAAACAGCAACTAGCAACTTCGTACCAGCTATCTACTTCACACATGATGGTGTATATATGTGAATGCTACTTTCTCCCTCATCTCAATTTCTCCTTTCCCTCCTGTGTCTACAAGCCTGTTCCATCTGTGTCTCCATTCCTTCCCTGCAAATAGGTTCACTAATGCTATTTTTCTAGATTCCGTATCGATGAGTTAACATATGATATTTGTTTTTCTCTTTCTGACTTACTCCACTCTGTATAAACAGGTTCTAGGTTCATCCAACTGACTAGAACTGACTCAAATGCATTCTTTTTTTATGGCCGCATTATATACCATTGTATACATGCATCACATCTTCTTTATCCATTCATCTGTCGATAGACATCTAGGTTGCTTCCATGTCCTAGCTATCGTAAATAGTACTGCTATGAACCCGGGGCGTGGGGCGTTGGGCGGTGGCCAGGGGGGTGGAATTCTCAGGTGGCACAGTGGTAAAGAATTCACTTGCTAATTCAAGAGACACATGTTCAATTCCTGGGTCAGGAAGACCCCCTGGAGTAGAAAATGGCAACCCACTCCAGTATTCTTGCCAGGAAAATTCCAGGGACAGAGGAGCCTGGTGGGCTACCATTCACGGGGTTGCAAAGAGTTTGACACAGCCGAGCATGCACACACAACTACTATGAACAATGGGGTACAAATTCTTTTTCACTCATGGCTTTCTCAGGGTATATTCCCAGTAGTGGGATTGCTGGGTCACATGGCAGTTTTATTCCTAGTTTTTAAAAGAATCTCCATACTGTTCTCCACAGTTGAAAAGCTTTTATAAATTATACTTCAATGAGGTAAAAGATTACTGTGAAATAATATTATACACCAATATTGTTCAAATAATTTGTCCATCTTTCTTCTTAAGGAATATAAAAGTCTTACTGCGCTTAAATATAATCAGGATAGTTGTAAATTATCTGAATACAGTGGATATATTAAATTGTATTTGAACTAAGTAAGACTCCTGATACACCCCAACATAGATTATAAAATAGAGAAATACCTGAACATTGAAGTTGAGACAAAATTTGAGCTCCTTCAAAGTCATGGCTTGTCATCTTTAAATTAGGCTTGATACAGCGAATAAAGCTTGCTCCCTACGAGAATAAAGGTACTTTAAAACATGCAGCATTCTTATTTTTCTAAGAATATCAGCAACCTTCAGAGCATATTTTCATTAAGTTATGAACCTCTCTTAATCACTAAGGAACTTAAAACAATTCGCATACTTTTATAATGTAAAGCATTTATACAGTAATAATGTCAGAAAAATACTGTTTTATATTTGAGTGCCAAAAATTGTTACTGTAAAAAGAGAAGTCTTTCATAATAAAGTATTTCAATATATTTAAACAATATATTTCACAGGATGGCATACATGTGATTATACTCCACATGTAAATGTATTTATGTGCTACGTTGCTGTGATAAGAAACAGCCCTATGACAAGATGAGCAAATAAAATTATGCCTCTTAAAATTTAGGCCAAAGTGTTAAAAAACCAAAGCCAACTTTTCTCATCATTCTATTTTAGAAACATACAGTAGGTCTCTAAGCTGCACTACTATACATCTTAAAGTTTTGTTAAATGATATGTATTTTTAAAAGCTTAAAGGCATTCATTTAGAATCAGTTATCAGATTATGCTGAATGAGGCAGAGGGAACACTGCAATGTACACAGTGAAACTGTTGGGAACTGAAGCTAATACACTGAACATCAGGTAACAGCTTCTCTTCCAAGTAGTCACAGCCTGCAAACAGTTATATCAACAATGATGCTCACTGCAAATGCTTTTTAGAAAAGCCTTTTAAAAAAAAATCACAACTATAACCTAATCATTTTACAGTAGCATCATATTTGGGTGATAAAAATAAAATATCTCATCAGATTTGGTTTTCAAAGAAGCTGTGTCCTTAAGAGATAAATATTTGCAAACAATGAAGATATTTAAGACAATTTCTTAATGGTTTCAAAACCAAGTCTAACAATAAATTAAGCAATAATAGCACAGAGAATAAATATTTGGCTTTTCAAAATGACTACTTGAAAATGAAGAGTATTTAGATAAGTTCTGTGGATTTGTATAAAAAATAATCTTCTCCTGAAGTCATGTCTTATAAGCCATATATCAAGTTTCTATCGTGAATTTTCTTTAAAAAAAACAGGGAATTAAAATTCCAGATTTTAAACAAGTCTCTGAGGAACTACTGCCTCTATTAAACAGCATTAAAATACTACGTCCATTTTTTTCCATATCAACACTGTCATGCTGGAGAATGTTACCACCAGAGAAATAAAATGAAAATGAATTATATGCACTGTCTTTAAGCCTAAAAAATACATCTTCCTTCTCTATAATAACTAATTATTTTCACTCTCCTGAAGCGACAGGATAATCTTAATAACATTCAGAGAATTCTATATGTTTATAAAACAATGTGACTGCCCATATACATTTGACTTGTCTTTAGAACAAACCTAACCAAAATGACAACCATTTTAATAACTGATTTTCTTTCAACGAGGAAATTTGGTTTTAAATAAATTTTTAATTATTCTAGGTTTACTGTGCTTATTTTAATCATTACTAATAATAGTTGGAAGAGGACCATTTAAAAACCGTTTAAAAAAAAAAAAAGAAAACCCTGTTTTTTTAAGTATACTCACTGTACTTCGAAGTTTATCCAGAAGCAAATTTAACTGTGTCTGTAGAAGAAATAATTATTTCAGAAAGCAAAAGTACACAATACCATAAGCAAAAATTAGCTCTTCAACATAAGAATAAAATAACATGCAATAATGCTCATCTACAACATGATACAATTTAACAGCTCTACACAATCTCTTTAAGAGACAGTAACATGCAAAAATGTATGGCTAATATATAACACCAAGGAAAACAAATATACAGAACTTGTGTAGTTAAAAGACTGAAAATTAGCAATACTAGAAAACATACATGCACACTTGGAGATGGGGTGAATGAGGAAAAAGTATACAGGCAACGAAAGTAGTAAATGAAAATGCGGATGTGATGCATTCAAAAGGGAATCGATGGAGCAGTATGTGAATACGTGGCAAGCTGGGTGTAGCTTGTGTCACACTCCACTAAGAATGAAGGTATGTTTAAAATATTCACTCATGCTATATATTAGAACTGTTTTATGTAACACCTATCATAAATGAAACCGACCTGCCTACCTGTTGAAAGTCTCTTTACTGTTTTAAAACCTCCCATTTCAATTATTTTTAAAGGCTAGGACAATTTTCTCAAAAGAAAATTCACAGTGGACACGATAAGTAGTTACTGTTGCTTTCCTTTTTAAAATAATATTAAGTGATTATAATTTACTCTGGCTCAGTACATTAAAATCATCTATTTGCTTTACTTCTCTGCAAAGTAAATTGTGTAAAACTGTTACATTGACTTTATACTGGGATGTTTATTGTACTACTTAACAAAAGATAAATTAACATATCTATTCAGTCATAGCTATATCTAGTAATAATAACAGGTATACTTTACTGAATGCTTTCTATGAGTCAGGCACTGCTCAAAGCTTTACACAGGTACTATCAAGTTTAATCTGCACAACTCTAATTAGGGATGTATTAGTCACATTTTACAGGTGAAAACATTTGAGGCCCAGAGGGAGAAATTATTTGCCAAGATGATGGAACTAGTAAAAGCAAAACTAAGATTCTAACAAAGGCCTAAGAGGTTCATTCTCTTAAGCATAACACTCCAGTACACTCTGGACATTATAGGCTTAAGTTATAAAAACAGAATGAATTTAGATAAAAAAAAATACGCCCACTTATCTGGTTGCCACAGTTTTGACAACCTTAACCAGTCTGGACCAGCACACAACTGAAAAGCAAGTGTAAGAGCCACTAATTTGGAAAGAAAATGACTATCACAAAGCCCATGGTTCCTAATCCATAGCACAGTACTCTCCCCAAAATGGAGATAAAGTGAGAATGAAGAATGGAAGCAGCAAAAATGAACTACAGTATCTGAGAGAAGAGGGAGGAATGTCTATCACGAAAGACCAGCGGTCCAAGACCACAAGGTGTACAGCCTTACGCAACTCATGCTTTATTTGTATTTTATGTTAAAACACACAATTGTTTCTGTATATAATAAAAGAATAAGATTTTCATCAAATAATTACTTTTTCTAAAACACTAATAGTAAAAGAGTTACGTTTCAATAACCTGAAAATGTCACATTTCAGCAGGAAACCTCCGGTTCTCAGTGATACTCAGTAATGTAAAGGCTAGCCTGTTCTGTTTTATTGCCATACATAGCATGAATTTAATTTAATAAACTATTCTACTATACTTAAAAATAAGAATTACTATTATTTCATTTCAAAGCATCACAATCAGAACATTTTCAAATTTTATTATGAATAATGTTACAGCTTTTAGTTAGTTTTCAAGTAGTCTGATGTGCAAAATGCATCATACTGCATTTAAGCAATTTTAAGCACTTAAAGTCTTAACATAAATTATCTTAGTGCAAAGAATTTTAAGAATGTTTTTTATTTTATTTATATAAAGTATCTAAAATTTAAAGTGTGCTCTTGCCAGCAATACTAACATATCATGTAGGAAAATAATAAATGATCTCCATTTCATACAGGCTAATGTACTATTTTAAACCAATCTGTCAGCATATGTTTATGTAAGAATTTAAGAATATCTAAATAAGAGAAAGAATACTCAAGAGAAGAAACTCTTAATTAATTAACATAAATTAAAACAGAGTTTAAGATTTTTTATTCAGTTATCTGAAAAATATGTGATAAGCTTTCTCTTATATCTATGCTTCACCTTTTGTTTTATAACCATGATTATTTAGAGCCCATTTCAGCTCACAGTGGATTTCAGGAAGCTTACATTGTCAGTATCCTAGTATTCTGAGTCTTAATTAAATACTGTTCCTAATTAAACTATTTTTAATATTTGAAGTACATAAAATGAAAGGCATATGCAGTTTTCTTATAAACAGAAAAAGACTGTGGAAATGTATACGACAGAAATTAATTCTATTTCTTTTATCTATTCATTATCATTTATTCATTAAAAGTGATACAAAGTTTTTAAATTATCTTTTTATCTGTAAAATACTCAACAGTTAGAACCAAACAAGAGTGTTCCATTTCTTAGATGCATCATGTGACAATTCCCTGTCAGACCTCAAGGAATAAATTCCTGATCCAAAATCAGTGAAGCAAATGTAGTGTTCTTCAGTGTTAAAAAATATGAAGGGTTTGCCACACCAAGTATTTATCTTTTATGGAAGTTATTAAAAGCTTTAATCAAAGTTTAGTGTAATATGCACACCCAAAATGCACTATGAGAGAAAACACATTAAAAATGAACTACAAACTGAACCATTAACTGAGCCAGGCTTTAACACGGCAGCCGCTCTAGTAAGTAGGAGTCCACGAAGGTGATCATTTACCTGAAGCCCCTGGCAGTGCCTGCTTTTTCTCTCTCAACTCAACTAGGCCTCTCTAGCCATCTCGAGCTGGACTACTCCAGCTAAAACAAAACTGCTGAATGAGGAAGGAAACAGAAAACACATGGGCAAGAGAAGGTTTGAAGGTCAACCAGACAGTAAGCAGAAGCAAGAACATTAGGAGAAGCAATCAGACATGTTAAGCACCAAGAAAGAACACGGTCATAAAATTACAGGATTTCTGTTGTCCCGTTACTGTGCCTACTTTATGTTGTTTTGCATACAAACATCAACAATTCAGGGTCTGCTCTTTGAATCTCACTCATGGGATTTCTCAGAGTGAACTACATTATCCACCAGATAGAATAAAAGACAGTTTTTTAATACAGTAAGAAAAAAAAAAATTCTAGCAATACATTTGCCACAAATACCTTGAACTTGTTTCCCACACTGATGAAGCTAAGTTTTCCTGCTTTTTGTTTAGTGTCTTTGTTGTTATTTGTGGACGATTCAAATAGTTCCCGGATAAATTTATCCCTGGATTCACATATTAAGGACTCAAGAGACATATGTAAAGCGTCATTATTTTTTTCCACAAACTGAGTCTGAAAAATAAAGCAGACAGGAATGATTCAGTCTATCTTGTGGTAATATTCCTTAACACGGTGTTGTCCGACAGAATACTCTGAGGTAACAGAAATGCTCTGTCTGCGCTGTCCAATACAGCCACCACCAGCCACGGGAGCATCGAGCACATGAGATATGGCTGGGGTCCTGAGGAACTGAATTTTAAATTTTGCTTAACTTTAAAAAGCCAGATGTGGCTAGACATTACCGTATTGTACAGCGCAGCTTTAATATCAAATGGTTTTCTCCCTGTAAATGTTCTACTCACTGTTTCATAGCACACTGCCCCGGCAAAATGCCTGATGATGAAGCCTTCATCATCTCGGATGTTCCTGTGAACTGCCAGCTTAGACTTTCTAGGAATCTGAAAATCAATACATATATCAGTCATTAAATTATCAAAAATATACATTAATAACTCCCTTTAGAAAACATCTGGGATGTGACATACTTAAAATCAGAAAGGGAGTTTTCATACTTTATACAATTATACTGCTCCTTAAGTAAGCCTTAATGTACCAGTAAAATCTAGCAAACATTTTTGGTTATAACCTCTTAGGAAGAAAAAAAAAGGAATAAGACCCAAAACAAAACAAAACCACACTATTAAGAGGCACATGCAAAACACAACAGGCATTTTATAAAGTTAACTGCTTATGTCTAAAGTAGCAGCTGCTGAACTGTCATCTGGAGCACTTTTAAACCGCCAAACCATTTACATGAGGTGATTCCCAGGTGTGACCAAGGTTGAGAAGCGTTGTTCTATTGAGACACCTGAAATCAACACACGACTCACCTAATGATTTTAGCCACACATCCTAACACTTCTACACAATGAGCCCGAATCTATTTGAAGAAAACAAAATCACTTTCTGGTTGTACTATCACTATACTATCACTATAATATCTCATACTGGTATCATTTCTAAAAGTCTCCAAAATAAAAGATCACCTCTGACCCTCAAAATAGCCTAAGGTTAAGAAAAACTATCTCATTTAGAAATGAAAAAGCTGAGACCACATAACCTCACCAGGCTAATCCTGGGTGAGAGAGCTGGCAGATCACAGAGCCTCCCCTTTGCATGACAGCAAACAGCATGAGTCAGAGGGTGGCCCTGGGATCAAGACGCCAGCCTGATGCCCTAATCCAACCCTTTCTCTCTTCTAGAAAAGGAGGCCACCTACCCTCTCTGCATGGGGAAGCAAGCAGGAGCAACAGCAGAGGATTACTATGAGCACTGTGCTGTGCTTGGTCACTCAGTCGTGTCCAGCTCTTTGTGACCCCATGGACTGTAGCCCACCAGGCTCCTCTGTCCATGGGCATTCTCCAGGCAAGAATACTAGAGTGGGTTGTCACACCCTCCTCCAGGGGATCTTCCCGACCTGGGGACAGAACCCAGGTCTCCTGCATTGCAGGCTGTTTCTTTACCATCTGAGCCACCAGCGAAGCCCATTATGAGGATTAAAGAAAGTAACTCAAGCAAAATGCTGAGAATACGCCTGGCACATGGTAAGCAATTCAATAAATGATTATCATTATTTTTATTCTCAAAGAAAACAAAAGTAGTGAACCGTACAAATGAGAGTTCACTGTTGTGCTCTCGTTCTCTTTTGAGGAAAGTGACCAAGGCCCATTCCTGGTGCTCTTGTTGGCTGTCCTTGGAGCGCTATGTCTCTGAAACCTTGGTCACAATGTGTTGACCAGCAGTCAGTTCTCTTGGCAAAAGTGACTGGGCATCCAGACTGGTTCTCATAGAGAGCAGTGAATAAACAGGACTGGATACACGTCTTCGATCTTAGCAGAAGTTTTACTGGGGACACACACTGTTTTATTTCTATCTCCACTGAAGTGAAGAGAGGCAGTCTTCACATCCCAAGGTTTATTTAAGGACACAGAAGAACTGCAAGTCAGTGGAGCAGGTGGTTGTGGGATGCAGCCTCCAGAGAAGGTCAGCGTAATTATATCAGCTTTTTCAGTAAATGCCTTCAACCAGCTTCTCTTATTGATTTAGTCAATGATGTATGGAAACAAGAGTATCTGCTTTCATTCACTTGAACTCCTGGGCCCATCAAGGCAGTGACTTATACCATGCCCCAGTCTCAAACTGTGACAGTACAGGAGGCAACTGAAACTCTGAACAGGTTTTCTTTTCTCTTCCTTCTTCCTTCCTTCCCGTCTTTGTTGTTCTAAGATGAGCCAGCACCTGTCTACATGGGTGAAATTAACATCTGCATTTCTCTGTGCTACTCTGCTCTTTCTGGGCAGAAGGATGGAGTTGTATTTGGATTATGTCAGGGGATGAAGGTTGAGTGTAAAGATAAACACAGAGCTAGCTAAACACAGAAAACACCTCAAGAGCTGCACGCTCCAGCCTTATGGAGAAAGGCCTTACTGGTCACCACCAACAGCGGGCATTCAAGCACAGCTCTATGACAAACAGCAGTCTAGAGAACCAGGTCTCCTGACCCTTTTGGGAAGAGTACTTCTCATTTATTTCTCTCTGTGTCTCTTTTTGTCTCTCTGTGTGTCTATTTAACCCTTCAGCTAATTCTTCTGTTGCTTCAGCTTCTACAACCCTCTCTGAGTACAATTTCCATTCAAAAATCCTAAGGAAAGAGCATCAAAATGAAATTACCGATCATTAAATGAATTGCTTCTACCAGTCAGACTCTTAGCCACAAGCTTTTCGAGTTTTAGCAATGTGCAGACAGGTAGCTGCATGTGACTCTAGGTCCTAACCCCTGGGAAGTGATCCAGTTCACACAATACAGAACAGAGTGACTGATGGCCACTTCACCCAGAAGGGAGAACATAAAAACAGTACATAGATGTACAAAAAAAATGTACATGAGTCTTTTTGTACATCTTATATAGGAGAAATGTATTTTATATCCAACTAAAAGGGCCTTGATTGGATAGATCAGCAGCAGCAAAAATATACAGATATAAATTAATGGTCATCTATAGAAGACACTGTGCTGGATTAATTACAGAAGATGTAACATAGTTGTTCAAAGCCTTACAAAACTTAGGATTCTAATTATCTAACATCTATCACATCTTTGAAAGTTTCTCTTTCAACCACAGCCTCAACTTTGAAATGAAAAACTCACAGAAAGTCGGAAATGGTCTTTGTGCTTCTGGTGAACTGCAGATGTGAAGTGCTGATCACTTGGCTGGGGAAGGCGATTTTCTTCGTCCAAAATATCCAATATTCCCACTAATTTTGCTTCAATTAAATCTATTTCAAAAAATTCAAATATGACAGGGTAAAAACATAACACTCTAAACTTACTGATCACAAATTTTGAGGGCTGGTCAGAAACAAAGTAACATGATTCCACAAGTACTGTTTTCTCTCAAAAGCTACAGAGAGCAAATGAATTTTATTTTACATCTGGCAACTATTCAGAAAGTAACATCATATACTGAACATAGTTTAGACAACAACTCCATAAAGAAAACGACTAACGTAATAACCGTTCTGTCTGAAAGCTAGGACAGAAGCCAAAGAGCCAGCCATATTCCTCTCCCAGATGACCTCTATATTCAAAATGAAGTAAAACTACAGAAGCTTTTGTAAGCTTAGGTTTTTAAAACTACTTACAGATATGGATTCAAAAGCTTTCCAGCAAAACTTCAGCAACAACACATATTTATGCTCCTTCCATTCATATGTTTGAATTTACTGCCTGTCCAAAATAACTATAAAATGTAAGCTGCCTAATGCAGTAGATAGAACTGTTAAATAGGACAGACTCTAAAAGACAGGAATTAGGAACCAGGTGGCGGAGGAGCAGGTGGACGCGGAGCACATCTCTCTGTGTGGATACATCAGGAATACAACTTCAGACACAGAAGTGCATGCAGAACATCAGCTGAGAGCAGACTGGAGTACCTGACCAGCAGAAAAGAATATATAGAACCACGCAAAACTCGGTAGGAAGAAGGAACTAGGGGGTAACACAGAAGTGTTAGTACGACTGGACCTGCCCTCAGCAGGTGGGAGAAACTGAAGCAGGGGTCCGATCCCCACGTCAGGGCAACTATCTGAGGCAGAGTAGAAACAGTTAAGGCTGGGAGTGAAACAGCTGATCTGTGGCAGCCTAAATGGAATGAGAATCAGACAGTCCTTGCTGCAGCCACACACACCCCAGACAGGGACACAGGTCCCCTGGAAGGCCCAATGGTTGGGAGCTGGAGTTTAGGGATTGTGGAGCAATCCCAGGACAAGAGCTGCTATTGACTGCAGAGAGACGGATCGAGGGGATGTGAGGGAGGAGATCGTGGTGGGAAATGCCCGTGGAGGAAAGCCAGGCAGCCATGGAAGCAAGGCAATACTGCTGAGTCACGCGTAGGGGGTGGAGCCATCACCACAGCCTCCCTCCCGCCACATGCCAGCATCGGCAGCTGAACAATAGAGAGCCTGGCCCATCAAACACCTGACGCATTGAACTGCAGAGTAGGACCCCACCCAGGGAGCCCCTTTAAGTGCCTGACACACCGATCTACAGAGTAGGAACCAGCCTGCGGGCCCCTCTATGTGCCTGACACCCCGAACAAGAGAGAAGGACCCCAGGCAAGGGAGCCCTCTAAGTGCCTGAACGGGCGGAGCTACGGAGAAAGACTGACCAAAGGGCCTTCTGATCACCAGCTACAAGAGGCTCGAAAAAAGACCCTGATCGGGCCACAACTCCTGGGGCGGAGGCAGTCTGTGTCCCGGCACACTTGGCACTGCCAGGGTCCCGCAAGACAAGCAGCTGCAAGCCTCACTGGGGCGGAGCTGCCACAGGCAAAAAGAGTCTTGCGTCTATGCACACAGGGTCACCTCAGTTGTGTCTGGACCCTTTGCGACCCTGCAGACTGTGGCCTGCCAGGCTTCTCTGTTAGAGAGGCGGGCTCTCCAAGCAAGAACACTAGAGAGTACTGGCCAATACTAGTTGCCATTCCGTTCTAGAGCGCTATATTTCCTGGTGCCCTAGCCGCCAACCGCCCTGAGTACCTGGTGCTGCCAGAACCCCTGCGACCCAAGCAGCTGTATCACCTCCACGCCTGGCCCTCACAGGGGCAAACCCAAGTCCTCCAGGGCAGCCTCAGGAGCAAACCCCAGTGGACGACCCACGTGCAGAGGTGGAATAAAACCACAGTTGAAACCCAGGGGCAGTGTGGCTAAGGAAGAAGACCCAAGACCTTCCCACCACCCGCAGATTAAATCCACATGATCAACTAGGCAGACTCGTGCCTATGGAGTATATAAAAGGTCATTGAGAGCTCCCCCAAAAGAAAACACTCTAGTCCTGACAGCTGTGGACATCGGAGGCAAGAACGCACAGGAGCAGGACCAGATTAGACCCTGAGCTGCCCCCACAGCAGGTCCAGAGACCAGCACAGTGCTGGAGGGCGTCCTAGGGAGGGGAGGTGGGCTGCGACTCCCAGCGAGGGAGAGGACTCTGACAGCCGGGACCCAAGAAAAACATTTACTATTCTGATGTTTGACTTATTCTGTATAGATTCTTTTGGATTTTTTTTCTTTTTTTCCCCCTTTTCCCCCCCTCTGTTGCAGCTGTCAATTTTATTGGCACTATGAAATCTAATTAAGCTTTCGAGCTTTTCTTTTTTTCCTCAGTTACATTTTTTACTATTGCTATAAACCTCTGCCTCTACATTGGGCTTTTTCAGTTTTGTGTTTTCTTTTTTCTTTTCTTAATTTTTTAATATTAATTTCTAATTTTTCAAACCTATTATTATTTTTCCTACATTTACGCCTTTTTTTGCTTTTCCTACTGTTCTTTTCCCCTTGCAGTTAATCCTTAATGTGTGTAAGTCTTCTTTATTTACCTTTATTTAACTTTGTATATCTATTCTTTCTTTCCTTACCTCTCAACATATTTGTTCATTTTATTTTCATTGTTTTATTCCCCAGCCGGCATCTTGCTTAGTTTTGTTCTCCAGTTTCTGCTTCAGCTTGTTTTGTTCTGGCAGATATAATTTTTGATTTCCTTTGTTCGCAGGGTCAGTCTATTATACTTTATTTTTGTTGGAATGTTTTGAGTTTGCTTATGGGTGGATATGTGTATGTGTTTATTCAGTCACACTTTTTATTGCTGTTATAAACCTCTGCCTCTACATTGGATTTCTGCAGTTCTATGGAGCTTTCCCTTTTTTTTTCCTTTTTCTTTCCTCACTTTTTCTTTTTTTATAATTTTTAATTTTTTTAAACCTATTATATATTTTCCACATTTATTCCTTTGTTTGCCTTTCCTACTGTTCTTTTCCCCTTGCAGTTAATGTTTAGTGTACATAAATCCTCTTCATCTACCTCCATTTAACTTTGCATATCTATTCTTTCCTTCCTTTCCTTCTTTTCCTCTCAACATATTTGTTACTTTTGTTTTCATTGCTTTATTCCCCACTTGACACCTTGCATTAGTTTTGTTTTCCAGTTTCTGCTTTAGTTAGTTTTGTTCTTAACTGGTAAATATAATTTTTGATTTCCTTTGTTTGTCAGGTCAATCTACTGTACTTTATTTTTCTTGGACTGTTTTGACCTTGCTCATGGATGTATATATATAAATGTATGTGTATATTCCATTTTTTTAAATTATTATTTGCCTGATTTTGTAACTGCCATTTGTCTGGGGTTCATCTTTGGTTTCTTGTTTTTGGGTATTTGGTTTAATCTCACATGCCATAACAAACCACTTGTGGAATCTTCATTCCTGACCAGAGATCAAGCCCTGAGCCTTTGGAGCGGGAGCATTGACTCTAAGACCCTAGACTCAGAGAACTAACCCTGCTGCTGCTGCAGCTAAGTCACCTCAGTCATGTCCACTCTGTGCGACCCCATAGACAGCAGCCCAACAGGCTCCCCCGTCCCTGGGAATCTCCAGGCAAGAACACTGGAGTAGGTTGCCATCTCCTTCTCCAATGCATGGAAGTGAAAAGTGAAAGTGAAGTTGCTCAGTCTGTCCGACTCCTAGAGACCCCATGGACTGCAGCCCACCAGGCTCCTCTGTCCATGGGAGTATCAAATAGTGAGAACTCACACAAAGGAAATCACTTCAATAGAAGATCCAGCATCACCCAGTAGCACCCTGTGCAGGACGCCTCCTCTAAACAACAAACAAAACAAAAATACAAACCCAGTCATCAGCAGACAGGATGTCCACCTCACTCAGCCTTGCCCATCAGAGGAAAAAGAAAGAAAAAAACAAACAAACAAAACTTAAGCACAAATCTCACCCTACAGGAAGCTTACACAAACCCCTGGACCAAACTTAGGAGGGCAGACACCAAAAGGAAGAAGAATTCAACCTTGAAGCCTGGAAAAAGGAGACCTCAAATAATGAAAAGGCAGAGAAATACCACACAAATGAAGGAACAAACTAGAAATGCAGCAGTTCAAATAAATGAAGAGGAAACAGGCAAACTACCTAAAAAAGAATTCAGAATAATGATAGTAAAGATAATCAAAAACCTTGAAAACAAAATGGAGAAAATGCAGGAATCAATTAAAAAACATCTAGAAGAATTAAAGAATAAACATACAGAAACAAACAACACATGTACTGAAATTAAAAATACTCTAGGAAGAACCAATAGCAGAATATCTTTAGCATAAGAAGGAATCAGTGAGCTAGAAGATAAAATGATGGAAATAACTTCTGAAGAGCAGATTAAAGTGAAAAGAATGAAAAGAACTGAGGACAGTCTCAGAGACCTCGGGGACAATATCAAAAGCACCAACATTTGAATTCAAAGAAGAAGAGAAAAAAAGGGTATGAGAAAATTTTTAAGAGATTATAGTTGAAAATTTCCCCAACATGGAAAAGGAAATAGTCAATCAAGTCCAAAAGGCAGAGTCCCATACAGGATAAACCCAAGGAGAAACATGTCAAAACACATACTAATAAAACTAACAAAGACTAAACACAAAGAAAGAATATTAAAAGCAGCAAGGGAGAAGCAACAAGTAACATACAAGGGAAACCCCATATGCTTAACACCTGATCTTTCAGCAGAAACTCCGCAGGCCAGAAGGGAATGGCAGGATATATTTAAAGTACTGAAAGGGAAAACTCTACCACCAAGATTACTGTACCTGGCAAGGACCTCATTCAAAACTGCTGGAGAATTCAAAAGCTTTTCAGACAAGCAAAAGATAAGAGAATTCAGTACCACCAAACCAGCTTTACAACAAATGTTAAAAGGGATTTATATAGTCAAGAAATAGAAGGGAAG